TTACTGGTGTATCATCTCTCTCTCTCTCTCTCTCTCTCTCTCTCTCTCTCTCTCTCTCTCTCTCTCTCTCTCTCTCTCTCTCTCTCTATTATAATTACCTCGACGTTTCACGTACACAACTTTGGTTACTTTCAGGACTTCTACAACTACGCGTGCGGCGGCTACAAGAAAATGGTGGACCTCTCGTGGTTCAAAACGAGGCTTCGGGAATTCCCAGACGAGATCCTGCAGGAACATCGAAAGTACATGATAGGTAATGACGTCACACTGTCTTCCTTGTCAATCACGCGACTAGCTGTCTCACGTGACTGTCATTTTGTCATGTGACCTTTTTTAGCTAGGTTCGCTCTACAACCACGTGATTAGTTCCACTGTGTTGGTGTCTTGTTGTGTTATTGTATCAAGGTTTTATAGAAATTAATAATATAATGTCCTCTTATATACTTTATATTCCTGTATCCGCTTATTTTAGACTCCCCACAAAAATTATTTTTAATTACTTTCTTTTTTATCCAATATTTTGATATTATCATTACACTAATATTTTCATCCTACGATTAGAATGAAATAATTTAATTTACTTTATTTAATTACCCCTAGTTTTTTATGCGGTTTAATTCGATTACTCCTTGCAGTTTCATCACTTTCTCGGCTAGTGCACATGCGCAGTGTATCGATGTTGAGATCGATATTTGAACTGGTTAGGAGAACCGTTATTTTACTTAGGTTAAACGACCGTTGACTGATAGTACATTTGTACTGAATGTGTAGGGGAACGACTGATTGAGTGCTTGCTAGGGAGTTTGGAGCGTTCCTTCGTCTGGAAAAAATTGGTTAGATTTCTGGAGTTGATTTTGTCAAAATAGAAAAGCAGTGAATGTCAAGCTTTTAAAATAACGATTACCATTTTTATGGTAATTGTCATTTTAAAACTTTGACATTTACTGCTTTTCTATTTTTTTTTCAAATCTACTTACACAAAGTCCAATTTCCAAAAAAAAATGACTCAAAGGAAGCAATTTCAGATAAGCCACTTGCGCTAATGCCATTTACCAAAAAAAAAAAACAAAAAAAAAAAAAAACACCCACTTGCAAACACTCATTCTACAAAAGACACATGAAGGCCATTTTCTAAAAAAAAAAAAAAACACTTCCACAAACGCCATATTTCTAAAAAAAAAATTACACACACGGAGGCCAGTTTCCTTTAAAAGTCAATAACAGAGTAAAGTAGAGCTTTAATTTTATTTTCTGCTAAAAAATTATTGCTGAGTTGCTACTAAATTAACATTTTAATTCGCATAGCACCATTTTTAACATCTTGATTCCATTATATATTACTCTACATAAGCAGAGAAAGCTTTCATTATCTGTTTCGACCCATAAGCCCCACACTAGCAAGTTAAGTACCCGAATCCTATTGGTTAGCATAACTGTGGGGTAAAATATACGCAACAGTCAATGCTTGATTATAAAATACAATTTGACTTTAATTAATAAACCCCGTACTTGATATACGTTGCTTAGCATAACATAATATGGTGTACTATACGTAACGATCAATATGTTATGATAAAATACTAAAACTAATCGAAGTCATTTAGCCGCAGTCATATATATAAAAGTCACATCGCATGTACATCACACAGTTACGATACTACTCATGTAAAGTAAGTTGATGTCTAGTTACCACCTTCTTAAATCTCCTACTAACACACAAACACAAACATTTCGCACTTTATCTCACACACGCACACAAACACTAAAAAATATGCCATGTGTTTCTGAAAACAAAATAATTTTTTTTCTAGAAAAATCAGTTTATTTTTTTTTCTCAATTTCTGTTCGCTGGTTTTCTATTTTTTTTTACCACGACGCTCGCCCAAATTTTCTTTTCTTTTTCTTGTAATTATAAAATCGTTTGCGATTTCTCTTTCATTTATTTAACAACAGGTTTCAATGAAGAAAAAACCGCAAAATTTAATCTTAAATTCAATAAGATTTAATCTAATTTACGTTTCTATCGTGTTGCACAACGAGAATAATTGCCTATATCATGTTGCCCTAATTGTTTTTTTCCTGATGCCTTTTCGATTATTTATGAGATCGATTTTCGATAAATGACGTCAAAATGCGATACCGGAATGTAAAGCCCCAATTTGTGTGGATTTCCGAGTGTTATATCAGAATTAGAGATGTCTAATATCTACAGTGAGATGTCTTGCATATATATATATATATATATATATATATATATATATATATATATATATATATATATATATATATATATATGTATATATACATACATACATTTACTTATGCATACTTATACATCAATATGTGAAAATGTGAAAAGTTGTTTTTATAAGGTATATTCATTTCATGCGGTTGTTTAAATGCAGCCAGTGAAAGAATATATTTAATGCCAGCCAGTTTTCCACTTTAAAAATGAAAGCCAAAAATAATATCATTATCAGAATTCGAGAGCTTCACGGAAAACAAATTTTCCAGACGCGGCCAAAAGTTGGCTAATAAAAAAAAATCTGGCATTAGATGAAGCCGGTGTAGATCGTGGAGTGTGGCGAAATCTTGCCAGGCGATGGAGGGGCATGTCCCTATGTTAATCAGCTCAACGATTGGCTGAGCCTGCGCATGCGAAATCTGCGTTTGTGAAAAGAGCTCCAAGTGGGGAATGAGTTAGTGTGAGAGATGGTTATGGGAAGTCCACTATAATAGCCATTAGTTTTTTTTCCTCATACTGTTAGTGACTGTTATACAAAACGTGTTTCCAAATAGTCATTATCATTCTGCCGATGCTGATAAATAAAAATTTTAAAAAAATTATTATTTGCAGTAAATTTAAGAAGCAGTCAATGCAATTGTACTTAAATAACCTCAGTATATGTTTTAAATTAAACCCATATTCGGTTAATTACATTAAACACGTGCTTCATTATTTTTATAATGAAGATCGTGTTATTAGAGAAAACGATGCAGTTTACCATTATTTAAAGAGGCGTAATTAAAAGTTCTCTAAACATGTGTTTTTAAGGCTTTGAATCTTACTGTTATAAACGCGCACCACACACAATATATATATATATATATATATATATATATATATATATATATATATATATATATATATATAAGCTAATTACTGATTACGTTGATTGTGTTTACTATATTAGTAAAAAAAAATAATGCATCATCTTTGGTTATGTGAAAACCATCTAAATAATATAGACTTATACAGCAACACTGGGAGACACCCTTTAATGTAATACACGGCTGCCCAGTTAGGGCTTTGTGTACCCGCTGTTCGAATAGACACGAGTTAGACAGGACCGGGGGCCGCGTGTGTACCCCGCTGATAAGGCGAACATGTCCTCTTTAATTCGCGAGATGGAGTGTTTCAATCACTTGTTTCACGTTGGCCCGTGTCGACTGGGGACCCTTTTATCGCCGCGTGTATACGGTACGTGGCTAAGAATTAATTGGGCGTTGGATTTTTATAACATTTTTAAAATGTTACTTAACATTTCATGCAAGTAGGGATATTTCTTAAATAGTTTTTAATCCAGCTTAAAAATTTGGATCAGACGGAATTTGGAAAAGTAAAAAAAACAAGTAACTAAAAAAAGTCTAGTGACAATTTTAGCGCAATTTCCTTACGTTATCTAAAAATAGCTCTGTCGTAGCGTAAATCAACAGCAGGGTTAGTAAAACCATTGGTTAGTTATTAAAACGTTTTTTATTAATTTTTTTTCAGTATTTTACATGTTTTATTTACAATAGAGTAACATGACTAAAAACCATTGCGCGCCTAGCTACCGAGCGTGATGTCGCAGATATTGAACGTGATGGCGCAGCTATAAAACGTGATGACGCGTGTGGTGTGGTTGCATAAAATGCCTACTAATTCGGTCCAAATTTTAATTAATTCAAAAAAATGTTTGTGACCAAACGAAAGGATATTTTTGAAAACTTTCTTCGGCAATATTGTTCTAAATTATAGCAGGAATCGATTGGTGCATGTTTCAAGTCGCTAAATGGTCTGGTTGCCGAGATATGGGCCAAAAACTGCATTTTTCCGAGGTTTTTTGGCTTTTCCGGGAAATCCATGAAAGAAACCCGGAATTTTTATGGCCTATGTTCATCCTCGTAACTTGCTTAACATAATTGTTTTTGTAACTAGTCATCGATATTGCTTCGTTGAGGAGGAGATACGACTTAAAGCTGCGGACACACATCCATACATTCATCCATCCATTCCCAGAAATGACGAGTTAATAAACGCAATTCTCCAGAATGGAAATTGCGCTAAAAATAGGATACATTTAAATAAATCGCGTCGAATAAGACAATAAGTGAGATGGATTACAATTTAAATTTGGGATATTTTATTAGAGAGAAAATTGGAAACATTGTGGTGGCAGATTTTAAAACTATTTTTTAAAAGAGAACAAATGCATTGACATTCTAATTTTTTTGTATTATGTGTGTGGGATAAAGTGCAAAAAATGGTGTGTTTGAGTGTGAGTATGAGATTTAAGAAGGTGGTGAAATATAATGATAGTGTGCAGTATACATTCTTTCACTTTTTTCTCATGTATATTCTGTAATTTAGGATGTTGTCTAAAAAATTATGCAATTTTTTTTTGTTAATTAATAGGCAAGCTCTTTGAAATCCGAGTAAATTGAACCAATTTTCATTTTGCTAAGTAATAAAAGTAATTTGTATCTTGTATATTGAATATATATATATATATATATATATATATATATATATATATATATATATATATATATATATATATATATATATATATATATATATATATGTATATATATATATATATGTATATATATATATATATGTATATATATATATATATATATATATATATATATATATATATATATATATATATATATATATATATATATATACTAATTACCCCCACACTATTCTCCCCCACAGACCGGCTGTCCTCGACCTCTCTAGACCCCAAAGATGACAAGCTGCTGGCGTCTTCTAAAGAGATCTTCAAGTCCTGTTTGTTCAGATCAGCCGCTGTCGAGGAGGGGACGAGGATCGTAGGTCAGTTTGTCAGCCGGGGGTTTCCTTATTTAGCCAACGGCTGACAGCTTTTAAACAGTTTGAGGCAAATAATGAGACGTGTGTGTGTGTGGGGGGGGGTGGAGAGGGAGGCTGTTAGGGGAGGGGATGGGGAGGAAAGCTGCTTAAAAATTTGACAGGATCCGGTGCATATAATGCAACAAAATACACACTGAATGGTAATTAGGTTGTTTTTTTAATATTGAAATGTCATTTTCCAAAAATGTAGCCTTCGCTGTTAACTTCTATATTAAGATGTCTCTATATTTACCGTTCACTAATGTCTGGTTTGTCAAAAAAAAATTAAACTTCAACATAAATTCTTACAAGCTCATGAACTTTTATATTTTGTCTTGCATCGAACTGTCGAATTTTCTGATATGTAAGCCAAAGAAAAGTAATTACCGAGTTCGGTTTTTGTTGACACATGACTGTGGTGTGTTCATTCACAAGTTATGTTTACTTTAGGTCGACATGTTGACATAAAAACACCCAGGCCTGTCTAAATGTTTGAAAACGTAGGCCCTACCCTGAATTTTGTATTTTAATTAATGTTTGCTCTGGTTTTGAGACGCTAGATCAATAGCGGGTAATCGATGAACGATGATTGTTACAAAAACATGACAGGGAGTAAAAGACTGAGATACTTACAGAAACATAATAGGCATAAATATTACACAAAACAGAGTTGGAGTCAAACTTGATGAAAATAATAAAAAAATGATATTTGAAATTAATGTTTTATATCAGTCAAAATTAAAAATAAATTTAGGAACTTTGATTGTCTAATAATATTTTAACATACTTATTTTTTATTTATTAGCAAATTCAAAATTTCTAAAAATGCACTTTGCTTCTTCTCTTTACCGATACTGTTTAAAAAGCGAAGTAATTGCTGTGGGGGAAAGGGGGGGGGGTGATGGACACGTGTGGCCTAGAATACTCATACGAAAGTCGCGAGTTAGAATCCGGGTTCAAATCAGTAGAACGTCCCTGAGTCCACATAGCTCTGATTAGCTCAAATTAGGGACACAAAGACGAGGTCACAGAAACAGGCGAACTCTACTTTACTAGCCCCTTGGACGGCCAGGTTTGAAAAGGGAACTTAACTTTAATTTTACTAGTTGTTCGATCTATAATACACACCCAGACAGTGGCGAAGCGAGGTCGGGTGCCACCCGGTGCGGCACTTAATGGTGTCACCCCCCCCCCCCCCCACCCCCAGAGGCGTAGCGACCCTTCCCGGGGACAAACTTTCAAACTTTCAATTTGCACCACCTCCCCCTCAAGCTTTCGATTTGCACCCTCCCCCCCTCCCCCCCTCGAACTTTCGATTTGCACCCCACCCCCCGTCAAGTTTTTCTCTATATATTTTGCTATTTTTTGCCTTGGTGTCGCCCCCCTAAATGGTTTCACCCGGTGCGGTCCGCACCCCCCCCCCCCCGCCTCCCTCGCTACGCCTCTGCACCCAGACACACTTAAAACAAATATAGCAACACCACATTTAGAGAAATCGTTAGTTTGTACAGTTATAATTTACTAGTAAATGTTACCAGAAAGCAAACACTGGCTTACAGTTAAGTGCATGAAATAGGCTTAACCCGAACAATTAAACGTACAATAAAGTTACGGACAAACGTAAAATAAAGTTACGGACAAACGTAAAATAAGGTTACGGACAAACGTAAAATAAAGTTACGGGCAGAGATACGCCTACCACTCGAGACAACTGAATAATTTGAGAAAAGTTTAAGCTGCAGAGATATAATCAGGAAATAAAACAGTCATAGACTTCCTGATAGTGAGATCGATGAGTCGATAGGTGACTGATTAAGTGGTTAAAACATCACGTTTTCTTCACGTCAGGCACGAGATTTGTGTCGGTGACAGATTTAAGTATCTGCAGGTGTTATCTGTGTTATAAAAAAACTATTTGTTGTATCTGTGCTGTAGTTATTAAATGTATCTGACAGTGCCGTAGACGAGGTACTCCCCCCACCCCCTCCCATCCTTCCTTTTTTACACGTCAGCTAGATCAAGAATATGTCGAACACACTTTTGATTATATAAAAAACAGTCTTACAAACGTGAAATAAATCGTTAGCAGTACAGCCTTTAACTTATAGGATCTAGAATTTATTTCTCTTTTATTTCTTCTAAAAACCAAGTTTCTTTGTTATCTGTAAATTTAATTATCAAACAATTGTAATTTGAAATTTACCGAGTTGCCCACTTACATAATAAAACTAAGCCATATTTAAAATTAACTTGTATAGAAGAGACAACCGAGTTTTCTTTATATTCATTTATTTGAACTAGACACACAAGTAAATTAGCACGTTAGACATTGTTCTAGCAAACAATGCCGACACTTACAACTTTAATGTCAGTCTTGACTTGCAGCGAAAATTGAAACAATGAAACTCAAAGGCTGACATCTTCCCGAGTGCTCGCGAGTAAGTCGGTAGCCGTCTGCTCAAAGATTCTGTGACGTGTATCTTCAGAACCAGCAGACGCAGACGATGACACAAACATACGCAGACAATAACGTTTTTGTTTTAGTTTGTGTCGCGTCTTGACATTTAGGTTTAGATTGTCAAGTTTTCTTGACCAAATAAGTGGAACCAGCGAAATAAAACAGCTGTCAATTTTTTAAGATACCCAATGTAGATGGGACAATAGTGTTAGATTTAAATGTGAATTGTATTCGCAGGATCGAAAATAAATGTGTCATTTTAAATGAAAATAACTTGACCTAAAATGTTACATAAAAACATTTTACAACATTTAGCTTGTAGTAAAACAACTCATGTTTTCGTATTTTTATCATGTCAAAATTACTTTTATTTTAAATAAAAATGTGAGATTTGTTCTAACATTTAAAATTTTCCAGTAGAGTGAATAATACAGAACATTTTTTTTCTTTTTTTAAATTTAGAAAACAGATATTCTGAGCAAATAAAATTTCTTCTTTTAAAAACCAGAATGCGTTTTTGAATATTTAAATGCTAATATAAAGATGGATTTATTCTTTTACATACAATTATGTTAAATTGCAGTTTTATAATTAAAATGAATGATTTTTTAATCGTGATTACTATTTAATTTGAAGAGTTATTTTATTCCTTAGTTCGCGGAAACGTCGCTATGAAAATAATATGCTAAGTAAGGCACTTTCACTAGTTCAGAATTAGCTTTAAAAAGCAGGTTTTTAAAATCACACACTTTTTCGTTACTTTATATGTAACGTTAAACAGTTCTGCTTCTTAAATTAAAAAAAAAGGTACAAAAAAATGCAATACTTTTCCAGCCGTTGTAAAAACCAAATCGATTTCCTAGTCTCGTACATAACTCGTCAAAAATATACTCTTAAAGGTAGCAAATTTTGACTTGGTAGGAGTCTAAGAACCTACGTTAGTCTCCATCTGTCGGATAATTGGCTTCATCAAATGTCTAGCAAGTTTTTTTAAAGTATGCTTGTGATGATATCACACATATGATTTCAATTTTTCGCCAATGACATATTTAAAAAAAATAGCTTTGTACAAAAAAGATCAATAAGGAAAAAATGCAATTAGGAGGTCATTCCTCAGGGGCACGTATTTATTTATATTGATTTTTTAAAATAAAAATAATATGGGAACAAAATTGCCACAGAAAAACTCCATAACAAACTAATATAATTGGACTATAACACATTAATAACTCCAACAATATACATTGTCAATTGTTACTTGCAGTCTATCGTTTTTGAAAAAAAAATTCAACATTGTCGAAAGTTTATTGTGTTCTTAATGTATTATAAAAACAAGACTATGAAGGTTTACTTTAAATTTGAAATAAAACGGAAAAACTGTTATATTTAAACTATTTTGTTACTATTAATGTAAGTCCTGGTTTCTCCTATGAATAAATAAAATGTGTTGTTTTATATAGTGTCTTAGTAAGCTGAAAACGTTTAATTTATATTAGGCTTACACAACAGTTTGATTAAATCAATATTTGTCGATTTTTAATATTTTTGTTTAAACAATTAAAAAAACAAAAGGTTTGCATAAGCTTAATCAATGAAGACTTTAAAACAGAGCAAATAAAGAAAACAAAATTAAATTGTTTTTCATTAATTGTCGTAAATCTGCTGCTAATAACTAATTACGTGACGTTTCGCACTGCCAAAGCTAATTAATTCTAAACATTCTGTTAATAATTTTCAAGTCATTATTTTTTTCTAAATGCAATGGAACATATTAAACATACATTAATTAAATATCCTTATTAGTTAGGATTATGGAGGTTTAATTATGTTCTATAAATTGTTCTTTTAGTCTGCACCAATCTCGAACATTTCAAAACAATCCATAATCATTCCATACCGTATGCTTTTGTAAAGTTAGAAAGCTTTTAAAATTGCTGATCAAACTCTTGAAAAAATTCAACATAGTTTAATACAGCGAATACTTTAATAACAATTGTCGTGCAGTGATTATGTTTGCAAACTCAAACCTCATCATTTGTTAATCTTAGATTTCGTTTTTTCTGTATTTTTAGCCAACATATATAAAAACCATCGATTCTATTTGACCCCACTTTAAATATAATAAACAAATTGACGTCATAGATAATACCACCCCCCACCCCGACCCAGCCTCTCCCATAATTCAGAGCCTCACAGAAAGCACCCCCGGGCATCGTCTAAATAAATTATCTGGTCTCATGTGGGGTTATCTCCCTCTTGCAGTGACAGATCTTCTGGACACGCTTGGCGGATTACTGGCGGCCACAGAGGTCACAGACTTGACCTTGCTGCTGGCGAACGTGACACGGATGTTTGGGGCCTCCCCGTTCTTTAGGGTCATCGTTCACAGCGACAAGAATATCTCAGTAAGTAGGTCAAGGTCATTGCTCACAGCAACAGTAATATCACACTAAGTAGGCCAAGGTCATCGTTCACAGAGACAAGGATATATCAGTAAGTAGGTCAAGGTCATTGTTTACAGCGCCAATGTTATGTTAGTAAGTCGGTCAAGGTCATTGTTCAAACTGTCAACAACATCTCAACCAGTGTCAAAGAAATATCGTTGAAAGTAACAAATAACTGTTACGATAGCCCGTATTTTTACATAAGTCAATACTTTTACAAAAAACCCATTTTGACTTAAGTCCATAGTATCACATAAGCCAATATTATTATATACATATCTACTCTTGCAAAAGCCTCTTCCCCTACAAAACGTACATTTCTACATACGCCCGTATTTTAACATAAACACACACTCGCCCAGAAGCCCGTACTATCAAACATTAACACCCATCTTAACTACAGTCCAGATTTTTACAAAAAGCTCATTCGTCACATAAGGCCATATCTATACACAAGCTCACTAGTCACATAAGGCCATTTTCATATAGAATCACTCGTAACATACGGCCATATTTATATAAATTCACTCGTTACATACGGCCATATTCATATAATCTCACCCCTCACATAAGACCATATCCATACAAAAATTCACTCCTCACAAAAGGCCATATTCATATAAACCCACTCCCCACATAATGCCATATGCATATAAACTCACTCTTCACATAATGCCATATTCCTATAAACTCACTCCTCACATAAGGCCATATTCATACAAAAACTCACCTCACATAGCGCCATATTCCTATAAACTCACTCTTATGTTGCAGCTGATAGCCAACGTGTCAGACCACATGAACCCACTCACCAACCCACCTGACTTCTCAAGGTCACGCTCATCTTCAACAGAAAATGTAAGTGCTTCACTTTGTTCTATCTTATAACTAATATTTAACGAATAGTTGAACCTAAATACATTCAGTGTATAATGTAACTGTGATAGCATGTGTTTGGACAAAAGGGTTTCTGATTTGCTTGTTTGATGAGGAACTTGATGTGTTGGGTATAAAAACAGTTAGTGGTTCGGTGTGTGAGTAGTGTAAGTAGTATATTTTTATTTTTGTTTGTGTATGAATGATGAGATTTCGTATTATGGATTTGTAGAAATCAAAATAGGTAATGTGGTTCTAATTAAAAGAGATTCCATTGATGTAAGAATTGTGGAGTTAAAGCTTATAGGAATTTATAGTATGGATGTTTTTTGGTATTAAAGGCTTTGTCTGATGGGTGGGCTATGAAAGTAAGATTTTGTGGGGTGGGTAGGCTATGAAAGTAAAGCTTATCTGAGATTGGTGTGTTACTGAAGTAAGACTATATGGGATTGATGTGTTACTAAAGTAAGGCTATGTGGGATGGATGTGTTACTAAAGTAAGGCTATGTGGGGTTGATGTGTTACTAAAGTAAGGCTATGTTGGGATGGATGTGTTACTAAAGTAAGGCTAGGTAGGGTTGATGTGTTACTAAAGTAAGGCTATGTGGGGTTGATGTGTTACTAAAGTAAGGCTATGTGGGGTTGATGTGTTACTAAAGTAGGGCTATGTGGGGTTGATGTGTTACTAAAGTAAGGCTATGTGGGGTTGATGTGTTACTAAAGTAAGGTTATGTGTGATGGATGTGTTACTAACGTAAGGCTACGTGGGATGGATGTGTTACTAAAGTAAGGCTATGTGGGGTTGATGTGTTACTAAAGTAGGGCTATGTGGGGTTGATGTGTTACTAAAGTAAGACTATGTGGGGTTGATATGTTACTAAAGTAAGGTTATGTGGGATGGATGTGTTACTAAAGTAAGGCTATGTGGGGTTGATGTGTTACTAAAGTAAGGCTATGTGGGGTTGATGTGTTACTAACGTAAGGCTACGTGGGATGGATGTGTTACTAAAGTAAGGCTATGTGGGGTTGATGTGTTACTAAAGTAGGGCTATGTAGGGTTGATGTGTTACTAAAGTAAGGCTATGTGGGGTTGATATGTTACTAAAGTAAGGCTATGTGGGGTTGATGTGTTACTAAAGTAAGGCTATGTGGGGTTGATGTGTTACTAAAGTAAGGTTATGTGGGATGGATGTGTTACTAACGTAAGGCTACGTGGGATGGATGTGTTACTAAAGTAAGGCTATGTGGGGTTGATGTGTTACTAAAGTAGGGCTATGTGGGGTTGATGTGTTACTAAAGTAAGGCTTTGTGGGGTTGATATGTTACTAAAGTAAGGTTATGTGGGATGGATGTGTTACTAAAGTAAGGCTATGTGGGGTTGATGTGTTACTAAAGTAAGGCTATGTGGGGTTGATGTGTTACTAACGTAAGGCTACGTGTGATGGATGTGTTACTAAAGTAAGGCTAGGTGGGGTTGATGTGTTACTAAAGTAGGGCTATGTGGGGTTGATGTGTTACTAAAGTAAGGCTATGTGGGGTTGATATGTTACTAAAGTAAGGTTATGTGGGATGGATGTGTTACTAAAGTAAGGCTATGTGGGGTTGATGTGTTACTAAAGTAAGGCTATGTGGGGTTGATATGTTACTAAAGTAAGGCTATGTGGGATGGATGTGTTACTAAAGTAAGGCTATGTGGGGTTGATGTGTTACTAAAGTAAGGCTATGTGGGATGGATGTGTTGCTAATTATAACCATCCCGTAACGTGAGCGATGATTTCCAGGATGCCAAAATGAACATGGCACGGCTGAGTGATCTGCTGTATAACCTGATACGGCCAACGGTCAACGAATCGGATGCCAGGAACATCGTCGCAGACTTCCTCAAGCAGGAGGCCGACATCCGCAGGGTGAGTGATCACGTGGTTCCCTTCTGGTTTCAGGGGCTGCCTAGGTTTTGGAACTTACACAAGTGTTCAGCCATCGCTAAAATAAAATAAAAATTGCCTTTTTTTTCTTTTATGGGGAACCGATTTTACCATAGTGGCTTGAGTATTATTTCCTTTGTGATAATAAAAACAAGGAAGGTTTTCTATGCTTTGTGTATTATTTTATCGACAATAGGAGATAATGGTCAGACTGTAGAACTTATGAATGACAACCTGAAAGTCCCTGTTTTGGGTTCGAGTCTGTAGGACGTCATTGAATCCACCCTTCTCTGATATGTAGTTTACCTAATTCCCGTTAGGGAAACAGAGGCGACTGGGTAAAGTGCTGACCACACTGTCCTCTTGAATTATGAGGTCATCGAAACGAATTACCCCTACTTCATCTAACCAATGTGTCTTTAGAACATCGTGGAAAAGATGATAACGTAAAAAGCTTGCACTTAATAATGTTAAAAAACACCTTCACATTCTATTTTTAGATACTACCAACCGGTCGTGAGCATTCAGACTACTCGGATGGCTCCTTCACGTGCGACAGTCCCAGCAGTCAAAAAACTCTCGGAGAACTACAAATTAAATACAACGGCATCGGCATCAACTGGTTCCTGTTTTTCCAAAACGTCCTCGACACAACCGACGTCGCAGACATCCGCTTCTGTAAAGTAAAATTCAGCAACGAACTCCACCATCTGCTTAAAATCACCCCCAAACCCTCGCTTCGGCAGTTTATCATCCTTCATACTTTAATCCATTCAGACCTCTTCATACTAATCTCACAAAACTACCAGAACCTTATTCAAACTCCGGATGGTAGAGAACTCTCAGAAACAAGAGAAGAGCAGTGCTTGGATTTGATTACTCATTTTCTCCCGGCGCTCGAGAGGTTCTTGGGCTGCGACGACTCGATGCTCGCCCATCACCGGACCAACACCTTCAACGCTTTACGCAATGTCCGATCAGCGCTCTACAACACGCTGACGCTCTCGTTGAAAGTACCCAAGGATAACGCTGCCAGTGTGACCAACTCCAGCGTGAAGCCGGTGATCGAGTCGATCAGTGAGGAGATTGTCAGCCGGTGTCAATCGCTATCCGGGCCCGCGGGTCCGTTCGATGAGTACAATTACACGACGAATATGTTGAGGATAATCCAGTTTTATCATAGCGAGTATTACCGGGGTCGGCTAACAAGGACCTCGAGGGACGTGGAGTTATCGGCCTTGTGGATCGCGTCTAGTATTCCAGGTTAGTCTTTTATATAGTCGTCGATACCCTTAGAATGGTATTTTATGTGTGAAGTGATAAGTCAAGGGAAAAAGTAACGATGTTTGTTTTATTTTTAAACATCAAAATTTTACTTTATTTTATTCGCACGCATTAAAACTAGACGTCTTGATTTGGTTGATCATTAACATGATTAGGTAAATAATGGATTGATATACGTACATTTCAATTTATATATTTCAGTATGTTACGGTTTTAATATTAATACACTAAGATATTAACGACATTAAGACATTTTCCCCACTAGTTTTGCATCCATCTTTCACTTATTTAACCCAAACGCCAACTGCAATAAACAAACAGTAACTTTAAATAAAAGCACATCTAAAAATGGTCATTTGATTTATAAAAATTAAATTCCTATTGTGATGATAACAAATTATACCGCCATGCAATTATTTTGCCATTTTACCCTAATTAGTAAAAATATTTTTTTCCAAAAATAAGCAACTTTTATTTTCCATTATGTTTAAAACGTAAAGGCACATAACTCATTGTTTTAATTAACACAGCACGCCTGCTAGCGCTGAGATAAAACGCCCCTTAAGTCAATGGCGTGTGCCTCATTTTTCAGAAATTACTCTATAGAATCTTTGAATTTTAAAAACTTTGAAACAAGGGAGACGACTTTAGTCGGCTTGTCTAGGGGACGCAAGACGGTATCCTAGGGCGATCTCACGTAAATCAGCAGTTTAAAATCTTCCTCCTTCTCCAGCTCTCCCCTCCCCCTTTTGTTGAAATCGATTTTAATCGGTACCTCCCCAGGATCGCAAACATAAATTCTCCATTATCAGCTTCATCGCAGGAAATTTAAAAACGAAAATTGAATTTTTATACGAATTTATGGCGAGTGACTCTTCACATGTGGAGACAAAAAAAATGGTGGATAATAGCCTTCACCCCTTCAGATTTTAAGTACTTCTAGTTGTCTCAGTGTCCGGTGTTTCATTATGATAGCAAATTACAAAACAATTTACGGACTTTTAATAGAGGTAGAAGTCCATTCTTAGTATAAATTATGATTCAGGTCTCAAAATAAATGAAACTGTCATTAGGCGCTGAAGCACAATATGAAATAAATTAATTAGTAAAATATTTTTTGATTATTTTTGAAGACGTGAATACCGCCATCAAAAGCATTGCTGCAGGTCGTGGTAATTACATTTTAATTAAAGTAATTACCTTCCGGGTATGATAAATTATTTGTGAATTTTATTTTAAAAAATGTTTTAATCGTTGTAATATAGTAATCCTTCTTTTAGGCCAAACCTTACAAACATACATTATTGTGGATTAAGACACATTTCATAATATGAGACATACGGAATATGATAAGACATGTGTAGCATAGCATTAGGCATATATCATTGCTTTTAAACAAATATAACACGGTTTACGGCATTTATAGCATGACTTTTATCAACAATACGTATATGGTGTCATTCAGGGATGAACCCACCCTTCCCCCGCCACATTCTTGTGACGCTACTTTATAGATTAACTGTATGCTTATGATAGTCTCTACATTATTTTGGGACAAGTTTAAGAACACACACATAAACTTAAAGTAAAGTATATACACAAGATTTAATCCGTAAGCAGTAATCTACTACGAGCTTCTAAACCATTCACTGAGCTTGAGCATCAATTGGAGTTTCTTTTGTAAAACATCTGGACATCTTCCTTGAGTTACCTTATCAATGAGATACATTGTATCACTATGTCCTGAGACTTTTGCAGGCTTTTCTTATCTCTAAAGATCCCAGCGCTGTCTCAAATGTTAGCGTATCTGTCGCTCTACATGGCTTGACACGATATAACAAACAATCAAACATAAGCTGTCTGTTGTCTTACATGATTGTCCAGATAGATTGAGCATCAAACAATCAAACATGAGCTGTATGTTATACATGATAACTTGTCGCGATAGTTTTAACAACAAACAATCAAACATGAGCTGCCTGTTGTCCTCCATGATTTAACCAGATACATTGAACAACAAACAATCCAACATGAGCAACCAATGAGACGACACGCCGCTGAGTACACTTATTGTACTCTCCACCATTGGAGGTCACGTGTTTTATCTGTGGAGCGTCTCGTGACATTTATAGTACACACACTGCAGTGATCGATCTATATCGGGGTGCCACGAGTTCGAAACTTCGGCGAGTTTGAATGTTATTCCAGACTTCAACTGGCTGTACCAAACCAAACTATGAGGTTCTAGGTACTGGGTGGGGGAGTAAGGACCTAGTGGAAACTACATGGCCATAGAGTATAAATATTCCAGGGTCTGCCTATTCTGCAGCTATCGCTTGGTTAGGTGTTCCTGTGAACACAGAAATGTAGGTTTCGTCAGGCTAGGTTAGTTTTAAATGTCGAACTTCCTAGCACATAGTCCCCCGACAGCGGCTTTCTGGTATAGACTCTCCAAATGTCCCCAGGTGTATCCAATCTTCTTGGTGTCTTCTTCCAGGTCACGTCTCCATGCCGTCTTTGGTGGCCTGTTTTTCTTTTGTCCTGTGGATTCCAGAGTGAATCCTGACTTGTTATACGGGACACAGGCATACCAAGACAGGCCTCACAGATGGAAAATACGAAATTAGCTTGCTTGTCGACACATAGATTTTATTCTAAAATTCTTGCATTTTTAAATTATTTTTTACAGGATTTTCTAATATTTTTTTCAATGATATCTTGGTAAAATAGACTGCATCTTTTTAATAAATTCAACTATACTTATACAGAAATTTCACAATCTCAAAGAGCCTGTAAAATTTAATCATACACAAACACCATGTCCATCTCCTGTTCAAAGCTGGACAGACGAGTTTGAGATGGCTTGTCTTATCTGTATGCTTATGCACGCCCGCCTACTTTAAAACCATTAACTTTAACATGGGCGGAATCGATCCTGTAATATATCGAGATTTGGCTAATGTTGAGGTGGGATTTTTGGGGGACGTGCTCTTTATACAGCGCTGTTTTTTTTTACACTGAGATGTTTTGTAAAGATGTGTTTTCTGTATGCGTGCAATCACGATAACAAGGGCATATGCGACAAGTGCATGTGGGTATCTGTATGTATATGTAACTGTGTGTCTGAAATGAAAGCGTTAGCATACCAAAACATACACATAAAAAAGCATCATGATTTCGAAAATGATTTTTTTTTAATTTAGCTCCTGTGATGCGTTGTGAAACTTTAGCTCACTCGCCCTTCACTTTAGCTCTGGTATGACTTGTGTTATTGAAATCTTCCTTCGCCCTCTTGTTCTTACTTCGAAATTAATAAACAGAAATTCATTAAAATTGGCCGTGGTTTATTTAGATACCAGAATTTGCGTCAAGACGTTTTTCATTTTAAAATTAAATTTACTTAACTTTATTGATTTAGTAAATATTTTATAAAACATATGACAAGATCACGAACTTAATCCCCAACATTTTACTAAACAGATACCGTACTAGTACACCTCCCCGTCGTTGGCGTTATCAATCATACATTTTAAAGTATTTTGTCTTGAAGTGTAATTTAACATACTATAGAGTCATATATTTTAAAACTATTTAAGATTTATTTTTACAGTTCTCGTCTTAAAGTACTGTCCATGTCTACATTTTTATTTAATGTAGGCCTATTAAAACGAATATATTTTACTTTGATCTTTTGACCTGTGACATCAAAAATAGTTTTCTCACTTGAATTTCGCATATTTCATGTCAGTATAAAAAAATCTAGTATGTCAACAGTAAATATTTTGAAAGTCATATTTTTAAACGATTTTAGGTTGAGGCAGAATAAAGTAATTTATTTTAGCAACGCAATCTCCTTAGCCGAATGACCCAAAAAAATGAAAAAAACACTACGAAGTTCAAAAATTAAAATAAAATTAATTATAAATATCAATATGTCCTTAAATATAATTACCTATCGTTGTTGAACTCTGCTTAATAGATCTGCTCTTATTGTGGAGAAGAAAGTAGTATTTGAAGTGTATAATTGAAAACTAAAATCTAAATTTAGATTTGTTTTGCTTTGTTGCTTGCCTATTTTAACCGAGTTCAAAGAAAGCGGAACAATTTCCGTGAACTTTGTTATCGTGATTTGGAAACAATGAGATTTACCGAACACAAATTATATACACATTCAATGACAATTCCGCGTGACATTTGCTTACCGTTGCTAATAGCACAATAATTTGACAAGTTTAGCCTAAAAATGTCTTCCTTGTATAGACTTTGATCAAGTTAAAAAAGGAACGAAAATAAAAAAATAAAACAAATAAAACGGGTCTATTGAACACTTTTATACTTTATTAATTTATGCATATATATATATATATATATATATATATATATATATATATATATATATATATATATATATATATATATATATATATATATATATATATATATATATATATATATATATATATATATATATATATATATATATATATATATATATATATATATACATTTCAAAGATATTTTTTATTTAAGGAAATAGAATTATGTGTTTAGGAGTCGCTCGCCACTTCAACGCTGTTAGACGGATATTTGTGGTAGATACGTGACTATCACAAGGTTAAAAATAACAAATTGAAGAAAATATATCACCTAGATAATTTATTATCCGTATATATTGTTCGACATATTATTATTGTCGAGTTGTTGAAGGTGGAAGTAGTTTAGCCGCAGCGATCTATAATAGTTTATATCATAATTTCCGCTGAACATTTCCGACGAAGTGTTTTTTCAAATTTTCACCGTGGTTGTATCGGCTCTTGACATTTACAAACCATTTCAGTTTGACGATGTCTTCTGTTTTCTGCACCTTTAGCTTGAGTGTTCTTACAGTGTGAGTGCTTAAAAAAGGTTTTGTAATTGGTGTCAGGTAATATGTGAATGCGGAAATTTCCTGCAACATTTGTCGTCATATTGGAAGCAGATTGGAGATATTTAAAAATAATAAACAGACACATTCAGATAGAGACTTGTGTTGGGCGAAACGTTCCAACTAGCTAATTCAACTGTATGTGTGTGCATCCTTTTTCTAATATCATATTCCACTCAAATGTTTATAAGATGGTTTTGTAAAGATTTTTGTGTATTTCGTACATATGTTTTTCAAAAAATATGTTTTGTAAGCATATTGTGTAAATATGTCTCAATAGTATGTTTCATGCGAATATTTTATGAAAATCTTTCTTTATTATAATTATTCGTATTTAAGTAAGATCGTGTTGTAATTAGTTTTGTGTGCGTTCTGTGTAAGAACTAAACACTGTCATGTAGGTGTAGTATGGCCAAGCCATTCTCGGGTAGCTTTGGCTGATTGGGTCATAACGTATTTATACAAAGACAGTTCTATAAAGCAAACATAACTGGGAATATGCTGAAATAGTACACTTTAAACCATGATATTCAACATATAGTATCGTCAACATTATATCCTGTAGAATGATAATGCTACTCTCTTCCAGAGGCATAGCGACCCTTCCCGGCGCCTGGGGACAAACTTTCGATTTGCACCCCCCTCAAGATTTTCATTTGCACCCCCCCCCCTCAAACTTTTGCACCCCCCCCCCCCCCCTCGCTACGTTACTGCTCTCTTCAAATATGTGGATATTTGTTATATTAAATGTAATGGGTAATTCATGGCAGAGCCACGAGACTATCACAGCCCCCCCCCCTTTGCTAGGCTATCACATACCCCTCTCCACTAGGCGATACATGACCCCTCTCTACTAGGTTATGACAGACCCATCTGTACTAGGCTGTCATATACCCCTTTTTTCTAGGCTGGTACACCATCAACCAATCCCTACTAGGCTGACCCCCCTCCCCCCACCTTTTTTTACTGGGCTGTCAAAAACCCCTCACCACTAGGATATGTGAGACCCCTCCTCTGGGCTATCACAGACCCCCCACCCACTAGACTATAACCAACCCCTCTCTACTACGTTAGCACAGACCCTATATACTAGAATATCCCAGACCCCTCCATTAGGCTATCACAGACCCCTCCACTGGGCTATCACAGACCCCTCCATTAGGCTATAACCAACCCCTCTCGACTAGACTATCCCAGACCCCCTCCACTAGGCTAACACAGACCCCTTGTACTAGACTATCACAGACCCCCTCCACTAGGCTAACACAGACCCCTTGTACTAGACTATCACAGACCCCCTCCACTAGGATATGAAAGACCCCCACCTACTAGGCTAACACAGACCCCTCTCTACTAGACTATCACAGACCCCCTCCACTAGGCTATGAAAGACCCCCACCTACTAGGCTAACACAGACCCCTCTCTACTAGACTATCACAGACCCCCTCCACTAGGCTATGAAAGACCCCCACCTACTAGGCTAACACAGACCCCTCTCTACTAGACTATCACAGACCCCCTCCACTAGGCTATGAAAGACCCCTTCACTAAGCTATAACCAACCCCCCCTCTACTAGACTATCACAGACCCCTTCACTAAGCTATAACCAACCCCCCCCTCTACTAGACTATCCCAGACCCCTCTCTACTACGCAACAACAGATCCCTCTCTACTAGACTATCCCATACCCCTCCATTAGGCTATAACCAACGCCTCCACTAGGCTATCACAGACCCCCACCTACTAGGCTATAACCAACCCCCCTCCACTAGACTATCCCAGAACCCTCCACTAGGCTATCCCAGACCCCTCTCTACTAGACTATCCCAGACCCCCCCCCCCCCCTCCCACTAGTCATCCCAAGTCCAGACTACATCTGACAGATATCCCCGATTCTATTTAAAAACCACTCCGCTCTTCCTAGTCAAGTGCTTTGTGACCATTTGTCAGTCGCTTATTGATTTTTGTATGTGTGAATATTTGAGTTGTCCCCCTTTTCGTTGACTACTAGTGATTGCCGTGTTATGATACATATACCGTACCACTGTTAGTAAACTATAATCATTTCAACATTGCACTTCTTCAGACACTGTATCTTATTATTTACTTCTTTTATTAATTATGTAACGCAATTAACTGTTCAATGTTATGTGTCCTAGCTCCTTGCCTTATTTGTAATCGAATGAAGTTTAGAACAAATACACGGAACTATCGCAATAGGAAACAGGTGGATACCTTATGTTATAACCATAGTAGACTGCGCTATTTAGTTGGAAGGTTGAAAACCTCAGCGCTAGTTAAAGTGATACCGTTATTGATAGCGGCGTACTCGCGGCAAAGATGAAATAAACAATCAGTCTTTAGTCAACAGGTATACGCATATAGACGTGTTGTAACGTGTATTTTTCTTGAAGCAAGGACCGGTGCAATAAAAATGATGTCGACTTTTTTTTTTTGTATTTCTAAACAGAAGGATGAGCGTATGGTTTTTCTAATGAGGTGAATGGAAAGTTGTGAGGTCATGTTATGAAAATGGCCGGGCTCTACTCTAAAGGCTGGGGCTAAATTATAAGCTAATTCGCCTGAGGTGAATGATTGGTGATCAATTCTACACATTAATGTGATCTAATAATGTTATGGAAGTTAATGTAATCTAAAGAGTGTATGTCATCTACCTTGGCTGTTGTACATAGTCCATACACACAAGAAGTATGCCACATACATTAGCGACAACTCAATCAAATGGTTTACATGTCCAGTCACCCCCCTCCCCCCCCCCTCACACCAGGTGTCAACATCGTGAATGTCAACATGCTGTAATTTGCATTGACATCATTTACATCACATTTAAACCTTGCTACATTTAATTTTGATTAGGGGATTTGAGGTTTTAATATCACGATAACGCAATTACACTAAAGCTAGTCGAGGGTTTCGACATTAATTAAACCGTCGCGGTTAATTAATGCTCACCACAATTTGTGATCACGTTTTTGTCGTCAAAACTCAGGTGTTCAGACCTCCTGAGGCTTGTGGTTCGTGGGCTGATTAAACCCGCATTAGATATGTTAATTATCAAATCGTGATAGTTAAAATAATTTAAACAACTGAACCAACCCTGGACTTAAGGAAGGCTACTGAGAAAATTTTCTTTCATTATTTATCATTGATAATTGTAGATCACTCTTTTAAAATGAGTTAAATATTTTGAATTTAAAATACTTTGAATTTTAATGTTTCAAATAATTTGAATTTAAATGAATTATATTTTCTCGTATATAATTAGTAGGCCTATCTGTTTTCCGGATTGTACATTTGAATGATGTGTAAATGTAACTGTAGTGCTGCGAGTCTATTAGATGAACAATGATCCATATACATGCGACATATATTAATCTTAGAACAATAACAACTCGTAGGTTACACATTTGCCGAAAAATGTCATTACCTGGTGGCCGTGATGGCATAGCGCCAGAACACTAGCAAGGTTGGGTTCAGTGTTTGAGTCTGAGGGTTTTCTCAGGGTTCATCCTGCTCTCACGGATGTCAGGAGATGCTTCTAGAAGATGTCTGGGCATTGAGGTGACCACATTATTTCCCACCCCAAAAGTTTCGAATTCACTTGAAACTTTCGGTGGTGTGAGACCGAACTAAATTTTCCGTGGAGGCGGATGGGCACTTGAAAAAGTATATATTTTCTATGTAACTTTAAACCCCAAGTCTAATAAAACATATAAACTAGATTCATAAAACTCTAACATAAGAACTTCAATCATAAACGAACTATCACCATAACATCAGACTGTAGTATAACTACCAACCTATATTCGTAAATGTTTCCAAAAATAAAAGAGACAACTTTAGTCTCGGCCCCCAGCTAAAATTGTACACCAAACTTTCTAAAGAGATGAATCACCCTCGGATTTAAAATGCCACGAAAATCACAGGGCGCCATTTATCTCGATGACGTCACGACACGATTTTGTTAAAAAATTATTTCTGTCTTTGACAAGCGTGACCTCTTGACCTTTCCAATGAAGAAGTGGAAAGGAAACTGCCTCGAAATTGTGTTTTCATCCCGTTCTTTTGATTTTCTTTTCCTCAGATAATTACAGATCGCGGGCCGGGCCCATTGTCTATCCATTTCCGGTTCCACAGCCTATAATGTACGGATCCCTGGGAACGTTCTTGGCATCAATGGTAGCGGAGCAGCTCGGGATAGCGAGTAAGTAACGACAGGTGACATTAGGCCGGACTCTCAGGTGATTTTAGAGGTATAGGGAGGATCTTCAGGTGATGTTAGAGGAATAGGAAGGACCTTCATGTGATGTTAGAGGTTGGTGTAGGGAGGATCTTCAGGTGATGTTAGAGGAATAGGAAGGATCTTCAGGTGATGTTAGAGGTTGGTGTAGGGAGGACCTTCATGTGATGTTAGATGAATAGGGAGGATCTTCAGGTGATGTTAGAGGAATAGGAAGGACCTTCATGTGATGTTAGAGGTTGGTGTAGGGAGGATCTTCAGGTGATGTTAGAGGAATAGGAAGGACCTTCATGTGATGTTAGAGGTTGGTGTAGGGAGGATCTTCAGGTGATGTTAGAGGAATAGGAAGGACCTTCATGTGATGTTAGAGGTTGGTGTAGGGAGGACCTTCATGTGATGTTAGATGAATAGGGAGGATCTTCATGTGATGTTAGTGAGGACCTTAGGGGTATAGGGAGGACCCTCCAGTGACTTAAGGCTGATATAGGGAGGACATTCAGGTGATGTTAGAGGCTGGTATAGGGAGGATCTTCGGGTGACGTTAGAGGAATAGGAAGGACCTTCATGTGATGTTAGAGGTTGGTGTAGGGAGGACGTTCATGTGATGTTAGATGAATAGGGAGGATCTTCAGGTGATGTTAGAGGAATAGGAAGGACCTTCATGTGATGTTAGAGGTTGGTGTAGGGAGGATCTTCAGGTGATGTTAGAGGAATAGGAAGGACCTTCATGTGATGTTAGAGGTTGGTGTAGGGAGGATCTTCAGGTGATGTTAGAGGAATAGGAAGGACCTTCATGTGATGTTAGAGGTTGGTGTAGGGAGGACCTTCATGTGATGTTAGATGAATAGGGAGGATCTTCAGGTGATGTTAGAGGAATAGGAAGGACTTTCAGGTGATGTTAGAGGAATAGGGAGGACCTTCGTGTGATGTTAGAGGTATAGGGAGGATCTTCAGGTGATGTTAGAGGTATAGGGAGGACCTTCAGGTGGTGTTAGAGGTATAGGGAGGACCTTCAAATGATGTTAGAGGAATAGGGAGGATCTTCAGGTGATGTTAGAGGTATAGGGAGGACCTTCAGGTGATGTTAGAGGAATAGGGAGGACCTTCGTGTGATGTTAGAGGTATAGGGAGGATCTTCAGGTGATGTTAGAGGTATAGGGAGGACCTTCAGGTGGTGTTAGAGGTATAGGGAGGACCTTCAGGTGGTGTTAGAGGTATAGGGAGGACCTTCAAATGATGTTAGAGGAATAGGGAGGACCTTCAGGTGGTTACACGTATAGGGAGGACCTTCGGGTTACGTTAGAGGTTGTTATAGTGAGTAAAACGAGGTGGCTCTTAAAAAGAATTCAATACACAAAATTATAGATTAACGTTCAATAAGGAAATGTTTATCGGAGATGTTTAAGCTTATAATATGTCCAAGTATCAAAACAATATATACATGAATTTAAGGGGGCAGTATCACCCAGAAATTTGAAAATTGACGAAAAAATTTGCCAAAAAAAAACTATTATACATACACACATAAATCTTTTACCATAATAGTAAATATCAAGGAGCTATAAAACAGCACATAAAAGAAAGTTAACGTATGATGCAAACATTTTTTATAAATAATTTTACCAAAAATTGTTTACTAAGTAATTTTTGGCTGCGGTTTTTCAATATTTAGGCCCTTCCTGCTGAAAATGCTCTAGGAGATGCATAACAGGGTAGCCTATGTCTGGAACTAGGAGATATCCATTGTGACAAATTTTGAAAATGTTAGAATTTTTCAAAGTCAGACCAAAATAATTGAACTTTGAAATTTCCTAATAAATTTATCTCTCAATAGAATACTATTATCTTAGTCCCGGACATAGCCAATAACGCAAGGAAGGTTTATACCAAATTTTAAGTACTTTACTTATGGTTTCGAAAAAATATTTACAAAAAATTCAAAATGTAATAAAATATTAACAAAATAATTTTTTGACAATTTATTGCCATACATATACCCTACAATTTATATACTGTATTATAGCAGAAGAAACGTTACTACTGCTGTAAAAATTTGACATGTGTATGTCGAATAGTTTTTTTTTGGTGATAGTTTTTGTTTCCCTCCCTTAGTCTGGGTGATACTGCCCCCTTAAAATGGGAGGTAACTGCAACAATTTCGTGCGCCTCTAGTCCACCACCAATGACTTCCCCTTGTCAACAAACTAACTAGTTCATGTTTTACTCGCCAGGATTGCTGGATCACCACTCGGACGGTCTGATCAACAACAGTGTTATCCTGGGTCTGGGGGTTCAGCTGAACGAACTAGTCAAGATGTATTCAGAGATGGACATACTGACATACGGCTCGGAGGTTTACAAGGTGAGAAGGTGTGACAGTTTGTGATACAGTGGGGCGTTGTACAATATGTGACAATGTGAGACATTTCGACAAGTTGATACGATGACAAGTTTTGATAAGGTGAGACGTTGTGACTAGACTAGACAATGTAAATAGCTTATTAGCAACCGCCTTTTTTAAAATCGTTTTTTTATTATGAGAGCAACGGAAATGTTCAAGTCGAAATATTGAATATATAAGTATTATGTTCTATGCGTATGAAATAGTTATTTAAAATATTAAAATGTGTTTTTTTTTACAAATCTAGAATTAAAAGGCAACGCTGTCGTCATATTGCCCACACCTTCAAAACTCCTCTCCTTCCTAATTTATAGCGATAAGCTTTATATCAATAAGTCTATATAAATGGATGAATAACTATTATAATGCCTATTGTCAATCATATATATACATTTGTATATAATGCTATATATGATGATTTATATAATACACGATGTAGTGTAAAAGTAAAGTTTCCCTTTCAAACCTGACGGTCTATAGGGCAAGTGAAGTAGAGTTCACTTGTTTCTGTGACCTCGGCATATAAAGAGATAGTGTGGTCAGCACTATGCCCAGCCGCCTTTACTCCCCCTAACTTGAGTTAGGTACTCATCAGATTTGGTTTGACTCTGGGACGGTCTACTGACTTGAATACAGATTCGAACTCGAGACTTACGGGTTAGCAGTCCAGCTCTCTACCGCTAGACCTCTCCGTCCGATGTAATGTGGCTACGCTATAAAATCTATTTTTTGCATACATAAACCACTTATAGTACTTAACAAATTTTACCAAACACAACAATATTTTAGCCCTAAGTACTGTCTACTGTTTACACCGATGGCTGGTTATATTCTATCGCTGAGAGTGATCTCCCCTTAAACTAACGAATTATTAAAACTTTGATCTTTATTCACCAAGTCCAAACAGTTTAACCACAAATGTTATTTCTCACACCCCGAATTTTCAACACATCAGTTAATATTGACACTGACGTCTTCTAGAATATTGACCTGCAGGCTGTTCTAGAATATTTACATGCATGGCCTTCTGGGATATTGACACACAGGGGTTGTCGATTGACCACTTGAATATCAGTGGCCTATAGACATTAGCGCTGGAGGGTTTTTATAGCGTCAAGACAGGAGTTTTTTTGTGTCCTGCGTCTTTTCACTGCTAAACACACACCCGCCAATCACTGACTGGTTAGCAGGGCAGCTCTTTGAGATGTAAACACGGCACCATTTTAAAATAAAGCACACTTGGAATATTTCATAGCCCGGGGACGGGGGAGGCTTGTTTAAATTTAGCTGCACTTAGTTTAGCTCTTTGACGCTGCAGTAGTTGGGCCAATGGCAGGAAACTAATGCAGCTTGTCAAAATGTTGGTAGAGATTGAAGGTTTTTTTTATAAAGATTATTTTGGTGTGGTTGTAGCTAAAAATAACTTTTTCAGTTTTGAAAAAAAAACCATCGATATTGGATAAAATCAGATTTGATTATACAAGGAAACAGAAAGGCCACATGAGTTCTAAAGTCATAAGCCATACTTTTATATTTTCCATGAGTTCTACATTAATAACTCATACTTTTCTGTTCTACATGAGATCTACAGCCATATGTCATACTTTTCTATGGGCTCCATGAGTTATGCAGTCATAATTCAAGCTTTTCTGTTGACTCCATAAGCTCTACAGGCATAAATCATACTTTTAGTTTGACTCAAACTGTGACTTAACTGTCGATATGTGTACACTGAAAAAGCATCTTTCCCTTTTACCTAGGATTCACATGTAACGCCCACATCTTAGCAATTATGTGGGGAAAATAAAACATGCGCAGTTCCCGTCCTACCATCTCCACTCTTCTAACCCTACACATATCAACATCCCCCACCCAATACTACCGCACTCTTATAAAGAACGAAAATACATCTATATTTACGCATGTACACAAATCTTTTCAAACTGCGTCTATTTTCTACCAACCACGTAAATAAACATGTTCAATACCCCCTCCCCCTTCCCCGACCCAGACGACCCCATCACCGTGCCCGGGGGGGGGGGGGGGGGGAAGGGGGGTCGTATTATTTTTTACAAACTTTCTTCGGGTGTAATTGTTTCAGTCACTAGAAAACTTGAGTGATCGTTCCACATGGATAGATGTCACTGAACTCGTTCAGCTGATTATCTCAAAAAAAGAGATTGATAATTGAAAGATCGACGAAGAAAACAACCCACAGGGCTAGAAATGGGACCAGGGGCGCGCGCGTTGCGACGGAGGAGGGGGTACATTTTGACAAACAATAATTGCAGTAGGAAAGTCGTCAAAGCATGGATAATTGCTCGGTTGTTTTTGAGTTTGGATCTTTAGAATATACTCGAGATGTAATTTAACAAGCGGTAGGGGGGAAGGGGTATTCAAAATCGATGATACAGGTCGATACAAGTTCTACTTGCAGAGATATTATAATTTAAATCAATTTATAACTGTGATTTGTGTACAGGAATAGAAATATACTTAAAATAACAGCTAGCTGACGGCAGAAGATTTTTGTTAATTAAATTTAACGTATAATTAGCTCGTTCGGTTGTGAATACTATTTTAATAATCGATAACAAAGTGTGATTAACAATAGTACAACAAACTATATACATTGTAAGATGTAATGCTATAGATTATTTTTTTCAATAAAATTTTACATTTGTATCCTCTTCTACGTATATATATATATATATATATATATATATATATATATATATATATATATATATATATATTAAATACTTAATGGTAATGTTTTAATGATATAAATGGTATAAAAAATAGAATTGCAGTTTTCGAAAGACTAGCTATAAGAAAAAAAAAACATGTAGGGTAACTAATATAATTATATACTAGGACATCATTTAAATTATATTTTAATTAGTTGATTAATTGGAACATGTGACTTTTAATCAAGAAAAAAGATAATTTGTTAATGTTGTGAAAATATGATATTTCTACACTAATTACTGTACATATAATTAAATGATGTTGTATTTGTAGGCCCAGGCTGAAGAAACCAGAGACCAGCAACTTCGAGATCACCTGACACTCAAGCTCTCGTTTAAGGTTCGTCTTTCCGCTCTGACACAATTAGTTTTATAAATGTATAGCAAGTTAATGTGTTCCCTTAAGTATGGAACATAATGGAGATCCCCTAGTTTAGTATTACTCTTGTCATTCATGTGTTTTAATATCAATAGATTCATTTGCAATCCAGTGATGCTTACCTAATGTGTGACTTCTAACAGCATTTATAGATATCACTTTTTAATGACAATACCAAAAATATTTCTATTTCAAAAATTAACATTTTAATATTTTGTTAGCCCTAAATTGTAGAGAACTATAGCATTTTGAGGTTCGTGTTTTTCTACATGTTGTAACACATCTATCAAATGTTTCCTAAAGCTTAGATACTAAAATTATTCGATATACACAATGCCGACGCCAGGTTATTTAGCACCCTAGGCAAAACTTATTAAAACGCTCCCTTTCATCACAAATTAATTACTAAAACATATGTACAAGAAAACAATTAATTAAAAGTGATTATTTATCAGTTGCATACACGTTATAACACGTTATAAGTTGACATCAAAAGCAAAATTTACTTGCCTCCTTCGTCTCAAAAGTTTGTATTAATTCCTTCAATTCCAGTTTGTAAGCATAATCACATTTCATTGAAACTGTTGCTAAGTCCACGAGTATACTTTGTACTTTACGACATCCCCCCACTACCCCCCCCCCTTAGAAAATTGTAAGTGCTTCCCCCCCCCCCCCCCACACCCCCATTCCGGGAGGAAAAAAGTCTGAAAAAAAAACATAAAAAAAGTTCTTGTAGTGTTCGACTCTCTGCAGTCCTCCCAAGGTGAGTTCCAAAACGGAACGTACCTGTTTTAAGCTTGACTGTCTTTAGTTATAATTGTAAGATGTCTATATTGTGTGATTATGTAACGATTTTTTTTGTTTGAAAAATAAAAGGTTATAAATGTTATAGATTCCAGCCTAAAATTGTTATACATGAATCCTTTAGGAGAGAGTGAACATTATAAAAAGACTATTAATTAGATGTTTAATTTACGATTGTCTACTAACATTAAGTATCGCAATCTAAGTATTTGTTTTTCAACTTGGTAATGATAAAAACTCTATATAATTATTACTGCAGAAAAAAAAACTTAAAGTTGTATTTATATGTTAGCGATCAACCTAAGGTGCAGGAATTTGAAATGAATGTAAGCTAAGCAACGAATTATCTCCCATTTAAAAAACGAAAAAAAAATTATTCAAGGGAAATAACTTTTATAAGAATTGCTAAATTAACCAAGTGTAAATAAGTCATTTTTGAAAAATACAATAAAATGCTAAAAATTTCATTACGTAATAATAATAACAAATATTTAAATTAACTATGCAATCTTGAAAAAACAATATATTTACCTATAAAATACTTAACTGTAGGTTTGTTTGGAAAAAATGAAAACGGTAGCTTTATTATAACATACTTCTATTAAATTTTGATAACAAACCACATTGTAGTAATCAATATGGGTCATTTAATTTGAAAAATTGTCAGGTTTTTAAAACTTTAAAATTGTAATTAAAAAAAAAAAGTTATCAATCAAACATGGCTAACTATTTTAGGTATTGCTAGAACTTTTAATTAATTATTAAAAAAATTAATTTGAAAAAAAAAAACAAAGTTTACATTTCGTTACAAATTCCATCCTATTTAAAAAAAAATAAATATTAATACTTTAAGAGTGGTTATATAGATTCCTAAAAAACCTAAAGATTTTTCACCTAGAGAACGCCTACCTTTCTTTTTAGATTGTTCCGTCCTGAATTTAAATAATTAACCTTACGTTAAAATCGACTACTCAATATACTCTACTACATTCACAACACATACCTAAACATAACTAGACTCGATGCTCCAGAACTACGACACCAACTCGTTTACTTCACCAAGCTCTACAAATGGTACTCCCAATCAACAACGATTTCACTGGACCTACTACTACTTTTTAACAGTCAATATAATTCGATACCTTAATACCACAAGAATCAGTACTCCCGAAATCCAGAACTACGATACTTCATCACCTGCATTTTCATTTCTCTACTACCAATCATATTCCAATAAACCTTCAACTACACAACCGCCAAATAAAAAATGCGATACACTTAGATACTTTATACCTACGAAACCATTTCAGCAAAAGCCTTCCGCCGTTACTCCCAAATCTAAACGAGTCATCAAAACTTACCAAACAAGTAACAATACTTTGAACACCCCGTCATTACAAAACTTTATACACCAGGACAGATTTCTAATTCAAAGTCAGAGAAAACAAGACTTACAAGCCTTCTTAAATGTTAGAAATTTAAATTATGAACTTATTTAATCGCTTTTTCAATCAGTTACATGACACAAAATTAAAAAGGCAAAGTTACTGGTAAAAAGTGCCCCGACCTTTCCAAATTAGGGAGGTGGGGGTTGCATTTTCACCATCGCGAATAAATATAGGCTTATATAGACCTAATTTTGGGGTGGGGGTGATAGTTCGTCCTGGGTGCCGAAATAGATAAAAGTTACTATTATTAGATACTTTTTTATGATAGCCATTAAACCTTTTGCGCCTTCTTAGGAATGGCGCCCTAGGCGACCGCCTAGTTCGCCTTATAGTTTATAGGTAGCGCCGGCCCTGGATATACATATAAATATATATAAATAATATATATATATATATATATCTATATCTATATCTATATCTATATTTATATATATATATATATATATATATATATATATATATATATATATATATATATATATATATATATATATATATATATATATATATATAGTTAGAGATGCAAAGAGGTATATACATATGTAAATTAAATATACATATTATTGTATATGTTTATATATGTTTGTATAAATATATTCTTAATGTGTGTGTGTTTGGTTTACAATGTTACCCCAAAACAATCTCCCCCAACCATTAAACTCGTGTCTTCCCCAGGCGTGGAAACAACTGGACAGAGATTTAGAGTCGGACCACTTCATACCTGGCCTTACCTTCACCCGACCTCAGCTCTTCTTTATTGCATTCGCCCAGGTAATAATTTACTCTCAGCGTCTGATTTCCAACAGATCTACAATCACATAATATATGGTCCGCTACTTTGATCAGATGTGTTATCTTTTTAAAAAAGTCACCTTACTTTCCCTATTCAAATAGGCACTGTTAATTTTTAAATAAAGTTCCTGCCATACTATGATGTTAATATTACGAGTTATCTTAATTTCATCCAGTGTTCCGGGTAGAAAATCTGTATTGGTACTATGTTAATAGGTTTTCTTCCTTTTCTTCCTGTTTAAAATAACGGAACAAATTTTAAACCTAGAAAGTACTTTTGGAGTAGTCGTTGGGAAGTTGATAATTCTACTTCCGGTTACAGTTTGATGAACAATTTACTTTTGTTAGAGAAATACCTACACCCTGTTAAATTGGGGATGGGAGTGAGGTGTTAATTACCCTACTTTTAAAACGTTTGATCCTGATAGTATCACTATACCAATAGAACTGTACACATGTATATCTTACATTGCTCCAATTGGTTTCACAGACCCAGTGTGAGAAGGTGAGCGACAGGGGGATATTGAAGTACTATGTGGAGGATAAGAAGAACCCAGCCATGCCTACACAACAAAGGTGATCTACATGACTGTTAGATAGTGGGGTGCTTTAGTTGGGTGCTATAGTTGCGTGCTATAGTTGGGTGCTATAGTTGCGTGCTATAGTTGGGTGCTATAGTTGCGTGCTATAGTTGGGTGCTATAGTTGGGTGCTATAGTTGGGTGCTATAGGATGGTAGAGTTATAACGAAAAGGACTAAATTGATCAAATGAAGAAATGACTATATAGTCATAGAAAGCAATGACTAAATATATCGAATAAAGAAATGACTAAATAGATCGAATAAAGAAATGATTAAATCGACCGTATAAAAGAAATCACAAAATAAACCATATAAAGAGAAGAATAAATAGAACGTATAAAGAAATGACTAAATTGACCATATAAAAAAGCACTAAATCGCGTCGATGTAAAACGTTGAAAGGATTCTGAATTATTACTCAAATATTCAAATGTTTTAAATATAATTTTTTACATTTTTTTAATACCCTTTCTGAAACGAAACGCGTATTACTCAAGACTGTTTAGTTTTATGTTTTATTTAACTGATTAATGTCTATAAAATATATTTTAAAAACAAATATTAATGTACTAAAATCTGGCACAGTGTGTTAGCATATTGTATCATAGGTGTGATTTCCTCCCACAGAGTCAACGGGGTGCTCCGAAATTCGGTCGACTTCGCTGAAGCTTTTCAGTGCTCAGACAACAAGTACATGAACTCCATGGATAAAATACAAATATTTGGCTAACTTTTAATATATCGTGTAATACAACATTGACATTGACGTGATACAACATGACACTCGTGTGATACAACATTGACATTGACGTGATACAACATAAAATTCGTGTGATACAACATAACGTTCGTGTAATACAACATAAAATTCGTGTGATACAACATAACATTCGTGCAATACAACATAACATTCGTCTGATACAACATGACATTCATGTGATACAACATGACATTCGTGTAATACAACATGACATTCGTGTAATACAACATAACATTTATGTGATACAACACTTACACTCGTGTGATACAACATAACATTCATGTGATACAACATAACATTCGTCTGATACAACATAACATTCGTGTAATACAACATGACATTAATGTGATACAACATAACATTCGTGTAATACAACATGACATTAATGTGATACAACATGACATTCGTGTAATACAACATGCCATGTGTGTGATACAACATTTACACTCGTGTGATACTTGAAACAGCATAGGTAAACCAAAGACCAACACAAGCAAGCCAGCATATGTTATACATCTAATCATCAGACATATTTTTATAGCTTTACTTCATCCGTTCTGTTCATTTATTCATACTTCATACATAATTTAAATATAGTCATATATATCACAATGCATGTATAGGCTACACCATACACTCATTTCATATATGTGTATATCCTACAATTATTTCATACAACAATTAGTTCTATATAAAATAGAGAGAAAATTAATTAACCCTCTTTATAGTTAAACCGGCAGTTGCTTGTTAACAAATATATGTGGAGTTATATACAATAATTTTTATGATTTTTCAAATGCTTCAAAATGTGTAATTTAATTATATGTGCACTCACAACGTACAATTATGCAGGTAACTAAAACGGAGGTAAAGTTTTAAATATAGTATACACAATTATAACATTTGTGGTGATGCCTGTTGATTTTATAAAGAAAAGTAGAATTATAATAATTTTAAACATATTAAACTTAAGACACACCCAAATCTTCATTACACTAACTATTAGTACTGGAATAAATTTTGATATCATTTATGTAAATGTTACTTCTTACGAAATATTGAAATATTGTAAGTTTGATGTTTTAATTATGGATTACTGAAATGCACGATACATGTAAGCAAATGTATGGGGGAGTGTAGAGTGAATGGTTGATTGTATGTTAGTTCCCACGTCATAATTTCAAACCACTGTGTAGAGTATAGGTGAATCATCTTTTCACTTTGAACATACATATGTGGCTGTTTTTGTTACATATGTGTATAAATATTATTGAATTATGTTTCTCATGTCATTCCTATTTTAACAATGTTTGTTTATGTACTTAAGTATACATATAAACTGTAAAGATATACAAACTAAAATGTACACCAAATCGTATTTTATTTAAAATATTTATTTATTACATATATTTATTTTGCTGCATTATTCATACTATGGGATTTGTGCATTTGAAACTAAATGAAATAGAATTCAAAAGCATGCTGTTTTTGTTTCGTTTTGTAAACAAATAGCAGTTTTCGGTATTTAGTCTACTCTTGATATTCTGTTTACAGAAAGTAGTGGTACACCGGGATATGTGAATATTATAAATAACATTAATGTGTATATGTAGATAATTTTAATAAATAAATGCTTGTTACATGTAAGGTAAAACTCGAACATATTTAACACGTTACATTTGTGACGGCGTGAAGTAAAAAAAAAAAGAAAAACAGAATCATTGTCGTATTTACTCATTTTGTCAGCGATGAATTTGTTCATGAAATTTTCGCCAAATACCAACATATTTTAAAGTATACTTATTATTTTGTTAAATCAGTTAATTATGTCTACGACAATGAAGAAATAAAAATTATTCACCGATATATTTATAAACGTGTATACTTGTATAAGATACATATATATCAGACCAATAATATTTTTAAGACAGTAAAACTGCTGAATTAGCAGAATATACTTCACGATATCATATAAATGCATTTATCTATTAACATTTCAGCTTTGTGACTGCAATTCACATTTATGCCGCTCTATGATATAGCAGCATTATGGTTCTATTATTATCAGTCTCCATCTATCCTTGCCTATTCCGTAATTAGTAATTGTATGAAAAATCCATGTCCTGATTATATGTATAAGTAATAAAAAAGTAAAGTCTACTTTTCGAACCAGTCGGTCCATGAGATTAGGGAAGTAGAGTTCCCCTGCTTCTGTGACCTCGGCATATGGAGGGATAGTGTGGTCAGCACTATGCCCAGCCGACTTTGTTTTTCCTAATTTGACTTAGGTACCCATTAGACCTGGGTAGACTTAACCTGGATTCGAACTCTAGACCGTTTGGTTAACAGTCTAGCGCTCTACCACTAGCTTACGCCATACCATGAATGTGTAAATTGTGTTGAATGATGTAACCGTGTTACACATCACTCACTATATAGTTGAAAAGTTTGTATTCCTTTCATACCAAATCTGGCAAGTTTTTTAAAAGCCATACCATTTCAGTAAAATAGAAAAAAAAAGACTTTAGAATCTTGAGTTTCGTGCGTTTGTAAGAATGTGACTATTATTTAATTATTTATTCCAATGTGTTGGGCAGATATAACGAATACCAGGTCATACTATTTTAATAACAATGCTTTATATTTTAATGTTTTAATATAATTTTAATACTATTTTGTATTTCATTACACTTTATTTATTTCACTATTGACTCATTGGAAATTTTGTTAATGGACTACAAATTGAATGAAATAATCCTAAACATGTTCTGCAACATACAAGCTCCCACTTAGAAAATACGCTACTAAATACTCGTAAATTGTAAGTTATTTTTGTGTAATGTAATAAACAGTAAAACGTCTTTAATAACATGAACAATGCATGGTATCAAGCTAACAGTATATCCTCTTTTAAAAGTAGTAAGACCACATCCTATTGAATGGGTATTTTTAAAGTGAAAACCATGTTACCACAAGGCTTTGTATGTTAATTCACCATTGAGGGTTTTATGGTATTTACATTAGTAGAAAAAGAAGACTTAGAGATTGTTGTGAAATATTAAATCATTTTTTTTTGTTTGTTTTATGTACAAGTAATATATATATATATATATATATATATATATATATATATATATATATATATATATATATATATATATATATATATATATATATATATATATATATATATATGTGTGTGTGTGTGTATGTGTGTATGACGCAATTGTAATATAATATAATGGATGTGTGTGTTTTGACTGCTTCAATGTAAACAATTAGCATATATTAATTTGTCTTTATTTATTAATTCTTCCATGCATTACTCCGAATTTCATGCAATACAAGGGAAATCACCCATAAAATAATCATGTACATACTTCACTCCCTTTGGGGACGTCTTGTGATACTGTAGAAACTGTAGATTTGTACGCATTCATTGTACATTGTTGACATACATACTCACTTTGTCGGAGATCTTTTTATTCCGTCTACATATGTCATGTTGTGACATCAACAAAAGTCATATGCCAGTCGATACATGTCATGTTTAAGTGTCGATATGTCATGTTTCATACAAACGTGGCATATATCCTTATACACAGTTATGCTTCAGTGTACATAAAAAATGTACGAGCGTACACTTATTTTATTGTGCACATGTGAATTTAGTATGTTGACGTCATATTGTTATAATTAAATGTGTTTTCTCTGTGAAAGGATCATGATTAGATATACAAAGTTAAAACAATAAATTGATTTTAAAATAGAATTCGTTTTTCTTTCGTTGCTTTTGATTTCGCCTACTTTTTATATCTCTAAATAATAGCAAAGACTTTAAAAATATACGAGCTAACCTGAGACGTAGAATACGCCCGAAATCTAGTTGTTTTATTTTCTGCTTATCAGCAATTTATAATTTGTGAATTCGATACTACCCACCCCCCCCCCCAACTCCCGCAACGTAAAAACAGCCGTTTACAGTCGTCAATGCATAGATCAAGCAGAATATGTTACCTCCCTATCGTTTCGAATTGTATGATACTAATTATTTGTCCCTTATTCAACCCGGCTATACGATTCTAAACAATTGTCGTGAACCAAAGCTTACCAGAATAATGGGGGTGGTGGTGGTGGCTACAGGACATAACCCCCCGGACATTACCCCCCCCTCCCCCCCCCCCCGAAAATTCACCCCCCCCCCCCGAATTTACCCCCAGGAAAAATTACTCCCCTGCCAATCCCCCCCCCCCCCTCAACTCCAACTAGAATACTAAACCTATATATGACCTTAATCCTAACGTTTAGAAAAAGACCAAAACCTAAGCATACACCCCAGCCTTAAACTTAACACAACACAAAAAAAAACGCTGGACATTGGTTTAAGTCTAATCCAAACCCTAACCCTAACCCTAACCCTAACCCTAACCAAAACCCTAACACTAACCCTAACCAAAACCCTAACCCTAACCCTATCCCAAACCCAAACCCTAACCCTAACCCTAACCCTAACCCTAACCCTAACCCTAACCCTAACCTTAACCCTAACCCTAACCCTAACCCTAAACCTAACCATAACCATAACCATAACCATAACCATAACCATAACCATAACCATAACCATAACCATAACCATAACCATAACCATAACCATAACCATAACCATAACCATAACCATAACCATAACCATAACCATAACCATAACCATAACCATAACCATAACCATAACCATAACCATAACCATAACCATAACCATAACCATAACCATAACCATAACCATAACCATAACCATAACCATAACCATAACCATAACCATAACCATAACCATAACCATAACAATAACCCTAACCCTAACCCTAACCCTAACACTAACCCTAACCAAAACCAAAAACCTAACCCTATCCCAAACCCAAACCGAAACCCAAACCCTAACCCTAACCCTAACCCTAACCCTAACCCTAACTCTAACCCTAAATCTAACCCTAGACCTAACCCTAACCCTAACCCTAACCCTAACCCTAACCCTAACCCTAACCCTAACCCTAACCCTAACCCTTACCCTAACCCTAACCCTAACCCTAACCCTAACCCTAACCCTAACCTAACCCTAACCCTAACCCTAACCCTAACCCTAACAGTAACCCTAACCCTAACCCTAACCCTAACCCTAACCCTAGACCTAACCCTAACCCTAACCCTAACCCTAACCCTAGACCTAACCCTAACCCTAACCCTAACCCTAACCCTAACCCTAACCCTAACCCTAACCCTAACCCTAACCCTAACCCTAACCCTAGCCCTAGCCCTAGCCCTAACCCTAACCCTAACCCTAACCCTAACCCTAACCCTAACCCTAACCCTAACCCTAACCCTAGACCTAACCCTAACCCTAACCCTAACCCTAGCCCTAGCCCTAGCCCTAACCCTAACCCTAACCCTAACCCTAACCCTAACCCTAACCCTAACCCTGGCCCTGTCCCTGGCTCTGGCCCTAGACCTAACCCTAACCTTAACCCTAACAGGGTAAAGCCCTCTTCCCGAGGCTGGTTGAGATATGCCTGGAGAGCGTGGGAGTACGGCGTGCGTCTACGTCTCCCTCATGGTCTCCATGAAGAGAATTATATATATATATATATATATATATATATATATATATATATATATATATATATATATATATATATATATATATATATATTGTATATTCTAACGGTAGACGCCATTGAAAGCTATTGTCAACTTAGATTTGTAAAGTTGCCTTTCCAAACCTGACGGCTAATGCGGCAAGTGAAGTAGAGTTCACCTTTCCCTGTGACACCAGCATTTGAAGGGATTGTGTGGTCAGAGCTATGCCCAGCCGCCCTTACTGTACTTAACGTAAGTTAGGTACCCATCAGATTTGGGTGGACTCAGGGACTGTCTCTTTACTTCGAACTCGAGACTTTCGGGTTAGCAGTCTAGCGCTCTACGCCAGGCCACTCCGTCCCACCTAATCAGATTAACGTAATGTAACAAAAACATTATTTTTTTCACAGCATTGAATCGCAACACATTTTAGGCTATTTTTTAATGATTAACTTAACATCAGACAATTGATTAATCATATGTTGTTAGAAAGACAAAACATCAACAAACTAACTCTTTGGAATGACAAATTAGTTTATTGTGAAAGGAAATCAGGAATCAGTTATTTACATAATATTGAACATATTTGTACATCATACAAAATCCTTCACCCCAGTATCACATGGTAATTGAGCAGAAAATTTACGACATAGAAAGAAAATTGAATAAGTTATTTTTTTCTGAATCACAAACTCTTTGAGCACTTTCCTGAAAAATGGTTGCAAGAAACTTTTTTTTCAAAGGATTGCTATTGAACGAAGGCTTATTTATGTTATTTTAAGAAGTTTAAAACAGAAACGTCATGTTGTTAGGTAGTACCCCAATTATGGTTAATTAATGTTGTTGCTTTTTAATCAATTAATTTAATATTATTTATACCCCTTGACATAAGAAGTGGTACCCTATTCTTCACATTCTTTAGATGGCTTTCAAATATTTATTCTGGGGGTACCCAAAACTTCGTATTCTTAACTGGCTTTCGAAGATTTATAATGTGGGTACCCTAACCTCTACATTAATTATTTAGCGTTCCTATAATCAGTGAGTACTCTAACCTCTAGATTATATATGTAAGTGGCGTTCTTAGATGTAATTAGTGAGTCCTCTAATATCCTCATTATATAACTGGCGTGCCTAGATAGTATCAGTGAGTACCCTAACCTATACATTATTTAGCTAACACCACTTACTCATATAAAAGGTACCTCAACACCGCACTATATACAACCTCACCTTGTAAAAACACATTTTATAAATCTGTGAACATCAGGATATCTTTTATCTTTTCTTGCGGTCTTAAGTATGGGTTAACTTATGGTTACGTTAAAAGCGTAAGATTATACAGCATAATCATTCGTGCAATTTTTTAATAATGGTAATTAAAAATATTACATTTGTAGGATTAATATCACATAGTTCAGGAGAGAGAAAAAAAAGTGTAATTCATTATATTCAGCAATTAGCAATCAACTGTTAAATCACAACCTAAACAGCAGTGATGAAAATAAGAAAATTTCGGTCAATTTCGGAGAAAATCATTACTAGAGGCTTTTGTTTATCTGAATGTAAATATTTCTTTCAAAATAAATGCTTTAAAAAATGAAATTTATGCAGTAAAAAGGTAATAAATATCCGACCAAAATCTGTCTTCGTTTTATTAAATTATATAAAATTTTACTTTTTCCAATTAAGTAATGTTGTAAAATAAATATTTTGGGAATTACATTATGAATCCAAAGCTGTCAAAGAGTTAATTACATTAAAGGCATTTAGGAAACACAGTGTATGTTTATATATATATATATATATATATATATATATAAATATATATATATATATATATATATATATATATATATATATATATATATATATATATGGAAAAAGACGTGGTGATACACATAGTACATAAATTTGGTCGGAATAAGAGGTTTATTTGTGAGTAAATACAACATTGATGAATTATAATTGCACACGAGGAATTACAGCTTCTCTTAGTCTTTGTATTTACATACATTCATTTTGCCTAGGAGAATGTATTGTTTACATTACTAAGGGTTTTAATATTTTAATATTTCGTATCTTTAAAATAAATTCTTTTTATATCTTATTTTAATATTTCATTTTGGACTATATTAAAAGTTACTTTCAAACGTTATAAATTAAAGATTAAATAAATCAAATTTTGAAATTAATTTAAGTACAAAACACTTTTCTAACCATATATATTTCAGAACTATACAAACTTAATGTTTTTCTGAGAGCATTAGTTATTAATTTGGACCACACCAGTCAGAATGACAATACAACTAATGTTTTTATTTATTTTACAGAAGTGTTGATTTTTCAAGGCTAATTTTTTAAAAAAAAATCATTTCATCATTGTAATGTGAAAAGCAAAAATAAATAAAAATAAACATAAAACAAACTGCATAGATTATCAACACAGTTACTTTTAGTTTTATATAAATTTAGCTGAAGGTTATTAAATTAATAATTATTTTAAAAATCAGTAAATATGCATTTTAACTGCCGTAATTGCAAACGAAGTCAATTAGATTATTAAGCTTTTTATATTTGTAATATTATGTCTATATAACATACAATTAGAATAATATAGAGTTTTATTTCTATTAAAATTTTTTTTTCAAATTTGGGAAATATGCATTGTTCCTTATGTAAAATAACACTTATAAAATTACTTTAAATATAAATTAAACCTGTTCCTCTTCATCACAAGTTACAACAAATCCAGATTTTTTATCGTTTTCCTTTGTTGAAAGCAACGGCATGAGTTCGTGTTTAGCGTGTTGAGAACCGTCCGAAGAGTTAGACCCCTTGGGGTGTTTCTTGTGCCGGGTTCTGTAGGGCGACGTCTCTACCTCGATACTGCAGGTCGTGTCGTCATACACGGAGTCCATGAAGGGCAACGCTTCCTGATTGGCCAAGCAGAAGTCTGTTTGATCGTCGTCTGAGGAGTCTATGCAGAACGGGTCGGGTTGTTCAATGAAAGGTGAAACCCTGTGGTTGGCTAAACTGGGGCTGGCGAAATTCGCTGCGATTCCGTTGAGGACTTTTATATTTTTCGGGGTGTCGTTTTGCTGTGGAATTCTGGAATTGTCTTCCAAATTTTCAGAATCACTGTCTCTTTTTTTCTGATTATGACACGTGTTGGTAACATCGTTAGAATTAATAAAGTCATGTTTGGAGTCAGGGATGTGACTGGAGTCAGAGACTTGACTGGTGTTAAAATGTTGGGGGTGTTTCGAGGTAGGGGTGTTAATGTGAGGGGCGGATGCGGAGTCGGTTCGTGAGTATCGTTTGACGGGGGATGAGATTCTCTCAAAGTCGAAGGATTCTATGCGGACAATGGGGGCTTTAATTCTCCGTGAGGGTAACGATTGTGTGGACGATATACTACTGGTTTCCTTCACTCTTTCGTCACCGTTTGACAACGTCACGGTGGAGCTCTCCATCGCGGGGTATTTCCCGTCCGGTAAAAACACGTCATCGTTATCTTTAACGGACAGGTTACTTAACACGCTGCCAGACCGCTCGCTTTTGTTCCCGCTTATCTCCCCTTCACTAGCAGACGTACAATCCTGGTCTGTTTTTGACCGAATAATCGTCGGTAAAGAATCAGCCGTAAATTCCAACGGCTCCAAATCCTGCTCTTCGACGCTCACGGAAATATCTCTCTCGCACTCCTCACCCCCGATAGCGAACTTCAACCTCCTCCGTCTAGACGACGATCTACGAATCAGATCCTCGCTTGTAGGGCCAACCAGCAAAGAGTAAGGGTACGGATGTAGGTAGTTGTTGTGTCTGAAGTTCGCCGGAGACTCCAGGGAAAAATTACAGTTGCCGCCGCTGAAGCTGGAGGAAATGGTCTGGTGCTGGGGTGAGCTGTCGGACTTCTTGTAGCCGCAATACTTGGGGGTGAGGGGCTTGTCCAGCTTAGTCCGTCTCCTGGTGGAGCCAGTCCTCTCCATCCGGGCCATGCCTCTCTGGACACGCTGCATACGTCTGCTTGTGTCCTCGCCAGTCAGCCAGTATGTCTTCATCACGCCCTTACCCTGCAACCATGGGGGGGGGGGGGGGTTATTAATTCAAGAAATAAGATTCAATATTCTAATTTAATAGTTAATTATGACAATATAAATATTTTAAAATTATAACTACTTTACCACATAGGATTTCTAGAAAAATCACACATGAAGTATTTGTTTTCAAAATTGAAAATTCTATATTTAAGTATTGTTAATACGAAATAATATATTTTAAAATTACAATTCCATGAATTTTCTTCTTTCTTTTTCTTCGTTCTTAATTTTCGTGTTGGAAGGTATCCCCCACCCAACACAATTAGGTATACCTGTCAACTGGTTATGCGCCATATAGGCCGTTCACTCTGAATTCAGCCTGCTTTTCTTTTTGGATTCGCTTCCATAGCCTTTTTGGTTTAACAACTATGAGCTTTACCGACTCGACCACGCCGACCCCCCATGAACTTTAATGTAATTGTTTTTTTCGTTATCAATAACAGTGTGTCTTCTTAATCTATAAAAAAGGTAAGTAAAATGTATCCTTTGTGTTTTCAACTGAGCAACATTTTAGCATAGAAAAATATGAACTCTCTTCAATGTATAGATAGGCCATAGTATAGGGCTGGTAAGTAGGTTAACATCCAGTTTTACGGCTCAATAAAACCATTGAACTGGTTGGTGACCTACTTACCAGCCTTATTGCAAAAGAACGTATAAATGTGAGAACGCATGGGTTACTTGTATTTAAAATGAACACAGCTGTGAAATGCTGATGTAACTACCCTAGAAACCCATCTCACCTTTATGTCGATATTTCCCCTTTCTTGTAGTTCAAACCCACCAATCTGAACTAGCAGGTTCATAGTAGGCTCAGAAATGTGAATTTTTAACGCTGAAAACAGAAGCATAAACATGTGTTTAAAAAATTACTATACAAAATGTAAGCATTTTTAGACTATCAACCCACATGGAGTAGGGGGGGGGGCTATAGTGATGTAACGATGGAGTTTTTTACTAACAACATTAATTTTTTCTTTTAAGTTTGATGAGTTATTTAGTGCCTAATGCATTTTTTTTTAAATAATGACAGAACTATCACAATGTTTGCTGGTTCACACACGTTTTACAAAAAATGACAACATATTCACAAGTTTCTTAAATACCAAGCAGAAAATGCAAAAATGCCTTGAGTTCGGTTCCTGTGGTTGCATTAAAACCCGTCAACTCTACTTTAATAGATAATATTAAATTAATTGATTAAAAAGCAACAACATTAATTAACTATAACTGGGGTATTACCTAACAACATGACGTGTCTGTTTTAAACTTCTTAATGCAATTTACAGTAAATCAAAGCTGCGCGGCCTACCCTAGCTGTGATATCTATTTTACAGTAAATCAAAGCTGCGCGGCCTACCCTAGCTGTGATATCTATTTTACAGTAAATCAAAGCTGCGCGGCCTACCCTAGCTGTGATATCTATTTTACAGTAAATCAAAGCTGCGCGGCCTACCCTAGCTGTGATATCTATTTTACAGTAAATCAAAGCTGCGCGGCCTACCCTAGCTGTGATATCTATTTTACAGTAAATCAAAGCTGCGCGGCTTACCCTGACTGTTACTCTCCATCCTAGACGCCACATTGACCGTGTCCCCGAACAAACAGTACCGGGGCATCTTCCGCCCCACCACCCCCGCCACGACAGGGCCGGAGTGGATCCCTATCCTCAACTTGATCTGGTCGCTGGGTCTGTGGGGGATTTTAAACACCTTCAGTTCCTGAAACACCAAGGTAAAATAAGTTAAACACCTTTAGTTCCTGAAACACCAAGGTGGAATAAGTTAAACACCTTCAGTTCCTGAAACACCAAGGTGGAATAAGTTAAACACCTTCAGTTCCTGAAACACCAAGGTGGAATAAGTTAAACACCTTTAGTTCCTGAAACACCAAAGTGGAATAAGTTAAACACCTTCAGTTCCTGAAACACCAAAGTGGAATAAGTTAAACACCTTCAGTTCCTGAAACACCAAAGTGGAATAAGTTAAACACCTTCAGTTCCTGAAACACCAAGGTGGAATACGTTAAGAGCAGGACTCAATATTAACTAGTACAGGACCAAATATAGAACTAAACATGAAGAAACACACTACGTTTAAATTAGAAACTCTATTTTATTAAACCTAATTTTCTTTTGATTATTACAATTTCAATAGTTTGTTAATTAAATTAATATTCAAAGGAATACATTATTCGGGTTTTTATGTAAAACTGAGTCAAATTATGACTGCCGTACAAATATAAAGTTAATTTAAATAAAGAAATCATTGTGCTGTTAAATGCTTTTATTATTAAGTTTTTTTAAAGAATAAAATAATAAAACATGCAATGTAAATGTATCAAAGTTAAGTTCAGAATGATAGTATAGTCCTTTAAGCCAATCAGATGATCGGATATCTCTTTTGACAAATCAGATGATCGTATATCACTTTTAACCAATCACATAATTGTATATCTCTTTTAACCCAATCAAATGATCGTATATCTCATTTAACCCAATCAGATGATCGTATATCACTTTTAACCAATCAGATGATCGTATAAAGACCGTGTTACCTGGAGCAGGTGTAGGGCCATAGAGGCAATCTCTCCGGCATGTCTGTTGCCGTTCCTCTTGGGCAGACCACTGACCACCATGTACGCGTCACCGATGGTCTCTACCTTGTACACATCGTAGTACTCGATGATGGAGTCAAACAGTGTGTACAATACATTCAACATGTCCACAATCTGAAACACACGTAGACAATTTGTACACACACGTGGGTTAGGGTTAAACTAGGGTTAAACAAACATATATGGGTTAGGGGTAAACTAGACATACCTTCATGGGTTAGGGTTATTCAAAAATTTTTGGGTTAGGGTTAAACAGACCTGCATGGGTCAGGGTTAGACTGACCTGCATGGGTCAGGGTTAGACTGACCTGTATGGGTGAAGGTTAGACTGACCTGCATGGGTCAGGGTTAGACTGACCTGTATGGGTGAAGGTTAGACTGACCTGCATCGGTCAGGGTTATACTGACCTGCATGAGTCAAGTTTAGACTGACCTGCACGGGTCAGGGTTATACTGACCTGCATGGGTCAGAGTTACACTGACCTGCATGAGTCAAGTTTAGACTGACCTGCATAGGTCAAGGTTAGACTGACCTGCATGGGTCAAGGTTAGACTGACCTGCATGGGTCAAGGTTAGACTGACCTGCATGAGTCAGGGTTCTACTGACCTGCATGGGTCAGGGTTAGACTGACCTGCATGGGTCAAGGTTAGACTGACCTCATGGGTCAGGGTTATACTGACCTGCATGGGTCAGGGTTACAATGACCTGCATGGGTCAGGGTTAGACAGACCTGCATCGGTCAGGGTTATACTGACCTGCATGAGTCAAGTTTAGACTGACCTGCACGGGTCAGGGTTATACTGACCTGCATGGGTCAGAGTTACACTGACCTGCATGAGTCAAGTTTAGACTGACCTGCATAGGTCAAGGTTAGACTGACCTGCATGGGTCAAGGTTAGACTGACCTGCATGGGTCAAGGTTAGACTGACCTGCATGAGTCAGGGTTCTACTGACCTGCATGGGTCAGGGTTAGACTGACCTGCATGGGTCAAGGTTAGACTGACCTGCATGGGTCAGGGTTAGACTGACCTGCATGGGTCAAGGTTAGACTGACCTCATGGGTCAGGGTTAGACTGACCTGCATGGGTCAAGGTTAGACTGACCTCATGGGTCAGGGTTAGACTGACCTGCATGGGTCAGGGTTAGACAGACCTTCATGGGTCAGGGTTACAATGACCTGCATGGGTCAGGGTTACAATGACCTGCATGGGTCAGGGTTACAATGACCTGCATGGGTCAGGGTTAGACAGACCTGCATGGGTCAGGGTTAGACAGACCTGCATGGGTCAGGGTCATGGGTTAGAGTTATACTGACCTGCATGGGCGTACTCTCCGAGCTGAGGGTCGTGAAGCCACAGATGTCACTAAAGAATATGGTCACTAGGTCAAAGCTCTCGGCCTCCACCTGTTTGCCGTGCATCAACTGCTCCGCCACGGTCCTGGAATGTTAAGTTGTATTGTGGTGAACGGTTAGCTGAAGGCTATGTCCCTTCATGGTGAATATGCCACTAATGTTATGTTGTATCATGGTGAATAAGTTGTGATTGTTATAATGTATCATAATATGTCATATGTAATGTATCAAGTTGGATATCTCACTAATGTTATGTTGTATGATGGTAAATATGTCGCTTATGTTATTTCCATCATGGTGAACATGTCGCTAATGTTATGTTATATATATCATGGTGAATAAGTTGCTAATGTTATGTTGGAAACCGGTGAACAGTTCACACATTTTTTGTTCTATATAGTTTGAGAATTATTGAACGTTTGGTAATTCATTGAAGTATATAAACTGTGTTGGGGTTTCAATACTAATGCTTTTTAAGGCAGTCTGTGTATGGGGGTGATGGGTATTGCCGGATGACATTTTTAGCAATCAGACTATTTTGAAATTACATGGGAAAATATTATGACATAGTCTTTTGGATTTGTTAACTAGCTCAATATTGACGTTTAATTAACAATTAAGACAACATTGGGTATAATTAATTACACCCGGTGTTTCGTACCCCGGCAACATGTCCTGTAGCAACTCCTCCGTTTTTTTCTTCTCCTCGATGAGCTCGTCTGTCCGGGACTGGACCAAACTCTCCAGGTTGCTGGCGTACTTCTCCATGATGGCCATCATGTTGTCGAAGATGCTGGACTTCCTGGGGTCACAGTGACATTAGATATTAGGTCAAGGACTTCCTTGGGGTCACAGTGACATTAGATATCAGGTCAAGGATTTCATGGGGTCACAGTGACATTATATATCAGGTCAATGACTTCCTGGGGTCACAGTGACATATATTAGGTCAATGACCGCATGGGGTCATTATTACATTGTATATCAGGTCAAGGACTTCCTGGGGGTCACAGTGATATAATATATCAGGTCAATGACCGCATGGGGTCAGAATGATATTAATATATCAGGTCAAGGACTTCATGGGATCTCAATGGAAATACGTTGAGGTCATGAACTTTCTGCGGTCATGTTGACATTGTATATAAGCTCGAGGGCCATATGGGGTCACTATGATACACGTTTGACGGGGGGTAACATTGGCATTATGTGATTTTAAATCCAATCAGTGTTTCTTCCAGTCTTTTTTTCTCCGGGGTGGGGAGGTGGGGGAGGGGCACTTGAAATTTTCGGGGGGGGGGGGGGCGTGGACTAAAATTTTCTGAATCCAATAGCCTTCTATTCTCAGGATGATTATAAAAAGTCATATTGACATTGCATGAGTTCAATGGTATAAATAGTTGGTAATGACAGAATTTACTGTATGTACAACAAGAGCATTTGACTTCAATAACTAATCAAGTTCATCTTCTAAATACTGAGATAGCTAGTAGTAGCTGACTATTCTATGTTTTAACGGTGCTATGATTGTATGCCTAAGTACAGTGTATAAATGAATAGTCCTATGGGTGATAAAGATTTGATGTAAACAAATACAAACTTCAAACCGGTATCGAACGAAAGAAACAGTAAAACCAATAATTTAATTTTACAAGATAAACTTACTTATAAGTTCTACGATAGGGCGGTATCCAAGTTGTTTTGCTGAAATCGCTGATTGTATAAAACTTAATACCCACTCTATCACTGGCTCAATTTGTTCTCAAATATGTACAAAAGGGTGGGTGGGTGTATGTCTTAGAATTTTTACATCGAGGTATGTTTAGTTGGATAAAGTAAGCAGGGTTTGGGCTATATTTGTCGGGTATAAATTGGGCATGTTACGTTCAGGGGCGCTAGATCTAGAATGAAAAGTGATTTCACCAATCAGCGATTCGAAAAGTTCCCTTTCAAACTCGACTGTCTATGGGGCAAGTCAAATAGAGTTCATCAGTTTCTGTGACCTAGACATGTAGGGATAGTGTGGTCACCACTATGCCCAGCCGCGTCTACTTTCCTTAACGTTAGTCAGGTACCTATCAGAGCTGGTTGTATTCACGGATTCGCACTCAAGACTTTCGGCTTAGCAGTCGTATGCTCTACAATTCCACCACGCCGTCCCTACCATCGCTATACCCCGACACGTTGCAGTATAGCCCTACCGTAGAACGGAAGTACCAGCTATAGAATCACCGTGGCCCACGTACATTCCTTTCTGCATCGGTTTCAGCTTGGTCCGCAGTGTCTTAAAGTCCGGCCTCTTGGGCGGGTCCTCGTCCCAGCATTCTTTGATGACGTCAGTGATGAACTTGGGGGTGGAGCTAATCTCAGAGAGGCGGGGCCTGAAGGGGTGACCGTTTTCATCCCTGGTGATAACCCTCTCAACGATTTCTGATCCACATAAATTATGCAAACAATTTTAAAAGATTATTCATAGGATTATGTTAATTTAGACAGATCTGCATGCGTTAAGATTAAGCTAGAGACGTACATAAAGAAAATAGTTTAAACATAGTATCCATAGGTAGGATAAATATGATATAGTATGAATGCGTTTACAATGGCTGAAAATAAAGAATGCGCTTTACTAGTCACATTCTAATCACGGGCTAAACATTTAGTTTTAAGTCAGATATGTTTACTAAAATAATCATGCAGAGGTAAAGTCATAGCGTAGATTAATAGTATGTTCAATATGAAAAGGGTTTAGAAAAAGAATAAGCCGAGTAATTAGTTCACAGTTATAGCTACAATTCATCATGTACTTGAAAGTCAATTTAAGTGTAAAAATATCAGGTTTTGGCTATCATAGTCGGTCGTGTTAGTCATAAAAACGTATGGATAAGAACTCCAACAAAAGATACAAACCATAATAAGAAATGCTCAGACCTTCAAATCAAATAATTTATTACATCTAAATGTTCGGCCTTAGTCATTGTCACAAATCAAATATGATACTTTTATAGAGCATACAACAAAATAGCTAATTCTCAACTTGGCCACTAGACACTATGGGAGCTTAAGCGAGAGCTAAATACACCAGCTGACCTTTAGGCGTGAGCTCACAAGCTCCGTAGGGCCCGTTCCTCGAGTGGATCTCAAACAGAATAATTCCAAAGGAATAGACGTCCCCCTCGGGCGTGCCCCGGGCTGGGGCGTGTTTGTTCCGGATCAACTCAGGTGCCTTCCACAACATATCTGGTATAGAGAGAGTAAATGTTAGTATAGGCTCTATGTCAGTGGTTCCCAACCTTGTTCGAGTGGCGACCCCCTTTTATAAAAAGTAAGTGACCCGCGACCCCCATAGAATTAAAAAAGCCGAAATTAGTATGGAAATTAATAAGCACTAAAATAAGATATTCTCGTAGACTTTCAATATGAACTACTCTTGATAACTGTTTTTCCAAGATTTGTTTTCTTTACCGATTTTGCAGCTTTGATAAAAATGCCCCGAGATTATCATGGAAAGTTATAATATTCGTTCATTTTCCCTGAAACTTCAGGTTAAGCTTATCTTAATGTTCGAACATATCTGCTTGGTATGATACTCTCTCCAATCATTCTATGTTTTAAGTATACCAAAATGTCTTGTTTCCTTTGCACTTCCAAGAACAATTTGATTTCAGATTTCAATTCAAAAACACAATTAACAACATTTCGTTTGACAGCCAGCGTACTGTAGTGTAGAAGAGCAGAACCTCGTGATCTATATTAATGTTTTTGCTTAGTTCTTTGAAGGCTCCAGATTTTATATAATTTACGACTTATACTAGCAATGGACTCTTGATGTCGATTGGTTAGGGCAGTGGTTAGGGAGCTAAATCTTTTCTGTTTTCTGAAAGCCCGATTTTGAGCTAAACATAGATGGCGCACCATCCGTACAAACCCCACAGCCGTTCTAACCCATTTTAATCATCCAGTTTCGAAAAAGATATTTTATTTTCTCCATGCTATCTTTACAAAAGAGCAACTCTTTTATCTTTGCTATCATCCGCATGGATATAGACACTGACCAGCAACTGCGAACTCGAACTCACGTCTGTTGATTTATCAACTTGAAAAGCAGACAATGGTGAAAGTTTAATTTCAATACAAATGTGTTATTTAACATTTACGTACATGCAGCGTTTGATGCAATTTTCTCCTATTGTTTTTTTTTTTTTTTTTTTGCTTGGCATTGTCTATCGCGACTTCATTTGATGCTTGCACTAATGCTGTTGAAAATCAAGTCTCTATCAAGTCTCTGGCGTTTGCAACTAGATTCTTATTGACGAAAGAACTCCATATATTCTTTGGTGTGTTCCGAATGACTCGTCTCAAATGACGCTTTAGTTTTGAAGATTTCATAGATTCGTGACTGAGAACAACTTTGTACAGTGCGCTTTGTTTCTTCTCTATTACATTTCCAGTGATGTTAATGAAGTCGAATTTCAAAAATTCTTCTAAATATTTATGTTTTGTTTCAAATTACTAAGGTTTAGTATACCAGTTGGCGACCCCCCAGAAAGACCTCCGCGACCCCCAAGGGGGTCGCGACCCCCAGGTTGGGAACCCGTGCTCTATGTGTCAGTAGCAAAGGGAGGGAATGTTAGCTTAACAATAGCTTGTCTAATACAAAGGGAGGGAATTTGTAGCTTAACAATAGGTAGTCTAATACAAAGGGAGGGAATGTTAGCTGAACAATAGCTTGTCTTATACAAAGGGAGGGAATGTTAGCTGAACAATAGGTTGTCTAATACAAAGGGAGGGAATGTTAGCTTAACAATAGGTTGTCTAATACAAAGGGAGGGAATGTTAGCTGAACAATAGGTTGTCTAATACAAAGGGAGGGAATGTTAGCTGAACAATAGGTTGCCTAATACAACGGAAGGGAATGTTAGCATAGCGTCATAATAACTGGAATAAAGGTGTGTGTGGGGGGGGGGGGGTATGTAACGTTGCACGCATCTACTATAGAAATCTTCGATTGTGCAAGGTGGGGGGGGGGGTACAAATAAACCACACACATTCGTAGAAAGGATTGAATGTACACTAAGGTTCAGATTGATCATCATAACATTTTCCCTTTCGTGCTCTAGACACATAGGGCAGATGAAGTAGAGTTTATCTGTTTTATTGACTTCGGTGTACTTGGGGTTAGTGTGGTAACCATCAGGGCTGGGTGGACTCAGGGACGTCCTAACTCAGGGATCCAAGTTTTACTGCTCAGCCACGCCGTTCTCGCTCATATTCATGTCAGTGTTAACTTTACCTACAGCGTGCCGAGGGCTATCTTAAGATACCTAACATTATTTTCAGTATCTTTTTTTCAATTATTAAACATAATTTTTAAGTATATTTCTAAACAGAAATAATGCTGGGTCAAGTAGTAACGATAATTATATATTTTCTACAATATATATCCTAATCATGTATTTTTTTTACATGGTTTTCGCAGTGCTTGTTTGATCCGATAATATGTAATGCAGCAAATCTTAGTGATTCAGAAACTGCAGTTGCATGTGCGTGTTTAAAGGTTGTTTAATAGTAATACATGTACCGCATTGCTACGATTTAACCCATAGACAGAAAGATAAATCAGTCTGAACGTTTCAAATATTGGTTATCTCTCTTTGATCAGTGCAAATAAGGAGTACATATAAACTTACTTCGTACAACTTTGAACTAGGGTTATTTTATAAATTCCAGATATTATAAATATGTGATAATTAGAAAAAAAAAATTCATTATCTGTACTGAAAGTCTTCGTGCATTTTTAATTTCTATCTAAATTAAAAGAAACAAAAGTTATATGATGGAAAGTAATTCTATACCCGCGAACTGACTTACTTCTGTATAAGGCGAACTGACTTACTTCTGTATAAGGCGAACTGACTTACTTCTGAATAAGACAAAATGATTTGAATTTTTATGCGGCGAAATGACTTACTTGTATAACAGGTGAATTGACCAACCTCTATATAAGGCGAATTGACCTACCTAAAGGCGAAGTTACCTACCTCTATATAAGGCGAATTGACTTAACTCTATATAAGGCGAATTGACCTACTTAAAGGCGAATTGACCTACCTAAAGGCGAATTGACCTACCTAAAGGCGAATTGACCTACCTAAAGGCGAATTGACCTACCTAAAGGCGAATAGACTTACTTCTGTATAGGGCGTACTCCCCCAGGGGCTGCACCTCCCCCGCCATGAACTCGTGCAGCCCGTAGTCCGTGATCTTCAGCACCCAGCGGCTGTCTACGACACAGTTAGATGACTTCAGTTTACCGTGGGAGATGAGCTCTGAGGCGTGAAGGTAGATCATGCCCTGTAAGAGAAGATCATGCCCTGTTATAGAGGATATGTGGAGGTAGATCATGCCCTGTTATAGAGGATATGTGGAGGTAGATCATGCCCTGTTATAGAGGATATGTGGAGGTAGATCATGCCCTGCTATAGAGGATATGTGGAGGTAGATCATGCCCTGTTATATGTGGAGGTAGATCATGCCCTGTTATAGAGGATATGTGGAGGTAGATCATGCCCTGTTATAGAGGATATGTGGAGGTAGATCATGCCCTGTTATAGAGGATATGTGGAGGTAGATCATGCCCTGTTACAGAGGATATATGGAGGTAGATCATGTCCTGTTACAGAGGATATATGGAGGTAGATCATGCCCTGCTATAGAGGATATGTGGAGGTAGATCATGCCCTGCTATAGAGGGTATGTGGAGGTAGATCATGCCCTGTTATATGTGGAGGTAGATCATGCCCTGTTACAGAGGATATATGGAGGTAGATCATGCCCTGCAAGAGAGGATATGTGGAGGTAGATCATGCCCTGCTATAAAGGGTATGTGGAGGTAGATCATGCCCTGTTACAGAGGATATATGGAGGTAGATCATGCCCTGCAAGAGAGGATATGTGGAGGTAGATCATGCCCTGCTATAAAGGGTATGTGGAGGTAGATCATGCCCTGTTATATGTGGAGGTAGATCATGCCCTGTTATAGAGGATATGTGGAGGGAGATCATGCCCTGTTATATGTGGAGGTAGATCATGCCCTGTTATAGAGGATATGTGGAGGTAGATCATGCCCTGCTATATAGGGTATGTGGAGGTAGATCATGCCCTGTTATATGTGGAGGTAGATCATGCCCTGTTATAGAGGATATGTGGAGGGAGATCATGCCCTGCAATAGAGGATCATGCCCTTTTATATGTGGAGGTAGATCATGCCCTGTTATAGAGGATATGTGGAGGTAGATCATGCCCTGCAAGAGAGGATATGTGAAGGTAGATCATGCCCTGTTATAGAGGATATGTGGAGGTAGATCATGCCCTGTTATAGAGGATATGTGGAGGTAGATCATGCCCTGTTATATAGGATATGTGGAGGTAGATCATGCCCTGTTATAGAGGATATGTGGAGGTAGATCATGCCCTGTTATAGTGGATATGTGGAGGTAGATCATGCCCTGTTATATAGGATATGTGGAGGTAGATCATGCCCTGTTATAGAGGATATGTGGAGGTAGATCATGCCCTGTTATAGAGGATATGTGGAGGTAGATCATGCCCTGCAAGAGAGGATATGTGAAGGTAGATCATGCCCTGTTATAGAGGATATGTGGAGGTAGATCATGCCCTGTTATAGAGGATATGTGGAGGTAGATCATGCCCTGTTATATGTGGAGGTAGATCATGCCCTGTTATAGAGGATATGTGGAGGTAGATCATGCCCTGTTATAGAAGATATGTGGAGGTAGATCATGCCCTGTTATAGAGGATATGTGGAGGTAGATCATGCCCTGTTATAGAGGATATGTGGAGGTAGATCATGCCCTGTTATAGAGGATATGTGGAGGTAGATCATGCCCTGTTATAGAGGATATGTGTAGGTAGATCATGCCCTGTTATAGAGGATATGTGGAGGTAGATCATGCCCTGTTATAGAGGATATGTGGAGGTAGATCATGCCCTGTTATATAGGATATGTGGAGGTAGATCATGCCCTGTTACAGAGGATATGTGTAGGTAGATCATGCCCTGCTATAGAGGATATGTGGAGATAGATCACGCCCTGTTATATGTGGAGGTAGATCATGCCCTGTTATAGAGGATATGTGGAGGTAGATCATGCCCGGTTATAAAGGATATGTGGAGGTAGATTATTTTTTGCAATAGAAATGGTATGTAAACTACACCATTTTAAAAAAGGGATATAGGATTTATGCCCTGACATATAAGGTAAGTATAGGCCCATTGTAACAATGCAATGTATTACATGCAATTAATGAGTTGGCATGCAAAATAGAAAGCAGAGAACTAGAACGTACTTGTACACCCCCTACCCCAACGAAAACAAATTGACCATGACCTAATTATCTGGCCAATAAACAGATTGCTCTTGACTCTAATCCCCAGAAGATCCCCTCCCCCACCCCCTCTGATCTCTGAAGCCCCTGAGAAATGAAAGATTGAGACCACTAGACCCGACGTCCAGTCATCGCGTTCACAACTAATCCAACATCATGCCCGTCTACGTCAACAGTTGAGCCACTAACGTCTACATCGTTGAGGAGCGAATGGTACATAGGTCGGACACAGTTCGTTCTGATTGTGAGATGTAGTTCCTACATCCCAGTTTCCATTCTCTGGTATAGTTCGTAGATCCCCGTTCTCATGGGTAATGTTGGTACTGGGTCCGTTCCCAGTTTGTGATGTAGTTTGTAGTTCCCAGTTTGTGATGTAGTTTGTAGTTCCCAGTTTGTGATGTAGTGTGTAGTTCCCAGTTTGTGATGTAGTGTGTAGTTCCCAGTTTGTGATGTAGTTTGTAGTTCCCAGTTTGTGATGTAGTTTGTAGTTCCCAGTTTGTGATGTAGTTTGTAGTTCCCAGTTTGTGATGTAGTTTGTAGTTCCCAGTTTGTGATGTAGTTTGTAGTTCCCAGTTTGTGATGTAGTTTGTAGTTCCCAGTTTGTGATGTAGTTTGTAGTTCCCAGTTTGTGATGTAGTTTGTAGTTCCCAGTTTGTGATGTAGTTTGTAGTTCCCAGTTTGTGATGTAGTGTGTAGTTCCCAGATTGTGATGTAGTGTGTAGCTCCCAGTTTGTGATGTAGTTTGTAGTTCCCAGTTTGCGATGTAGTTTGTAGTTCCCAGTTTGTGATGTAGTTTGTAGTTCCCAGTTTGTGATGTAGTTTGTAGTTCCCAGTTTGTGATGTAGTTTGTAGTTCCCAGTTTGTGATGTAGTTTGTAGTTCCCAGTTTGTGATGTAGTTTGTAGTTCCCTGTTCCAGTGGTGTAGCGAGGTCGGGTGTCACCCGGTGCGGCACTTAATGGTATCACCCCCCAGAGGCGTAGCGACCCTTCCCGGGGACTAACTTTCAAGTTTTCGATTTGCACCCATCCCCCCTCAAACTTTCGATTTGCACCCCCTCCCACCTCAACTTTTCGATTTGCACCACCCCGTCAAGTTTTTCTCTATATATTTTGCTATTTTTTGCCTTGGTGTCACCCCCCTAAATGTTGTCACCCGGTGCGATCCGCACCCCCGCCCCCCCCCCCCCCCCCTCCCTCGCTACGCCCCTGCCCTGTTCTAACTTTGTGATGGTGTATCGTGTGGTGGACAGTAGTAGGAATTACCAGTTTTTAGCGAAAGGTTCTGTCACACTCGGCTTCTTAGGTATTTTTGGGCTAGTTTGGGCCAGGTGTAACAATTGAAAATATACAAAATCCACAACGAGAATCTGTATCAAGGGCGTATAATTATCATTAATCGCAAGAACACATGACAAGAAGAAAAACTGACGAGTAGGTACACGCTGTTGACACTACACCCCATAGCTTCACACACTGCCTCGTTCACACACTTTGACCTACTAGCGAACAACTTTCAAGGGAAGGCCACTCTCACACACACTCTCAGTGTCATCAGTACCAAGGTGTTGAATACAATGGTCGGTATGACTCATTGCCATTATCACTGATTACTGTTTACACGCGTATCTTTTTGATCGATTACGTTTTTATATTTTGAATTTTTCAGTACACTTTTGACTAGTTTCAATAAAACCAAAGAATAATCAACTCATTACATTCTTCTTTTCTAATTTTGAACGTAATTATTCTTTTTAAATTATGCAATAGTTGCATGAAACGTTTGTGTACGTTTTTTTACATAGAGATTTTCAAAAAAATCATGGATATACTGGGCACTATACTTTCGAATAATCATGGATATAACAGTCGCCGTACTTTCAAACAATCAGTGATGCAATTTTCAATATCGATCCAAATAATCATGGATACATTGCTCACTCACACCAAACAATTATGGATACCATAATCAGCAAACTCTAGACAATCCTGGATACTGTGGTCATCATAACCCCAAACAATCCTGGATACTATGGTCGTCCTTAAACAATCATGGATACTATGGTCCCCCTCACTCCAAAAATCTTGGATACTATGGTCAGACTCCAGACAATCATATATACTATGGTCAGACTCTAGACAATCCTGGATACTATGGTCAGACTCTAGACAATCCTGGATACTATGGTCCACCTAACTCTAGACAATCCTTGATACTATGGTCAGACTCCAGACAATCATATATACTATGGTCAGACTCTAGACAATCCTGGATACTATGGTCAGACTCTAGACAATCCTGGATACTATGGTCCCCCTAACTCCAGACAATCCTGGATACTATGGTCCCCCTAACTCTAGACAATCCTGGATACTATGGTCGTCCTAACTCTAGACAATCCTAGACACACATCCACAGTATCGAGCGTCTACGATGTGAATTAAACACCAGCATCAGGGGCGACAAGACATTAGGATACGATGGGAGACAACCGAGTCCAATAGAAACAGTCCATTCAAGGGACGCAACTAATTTGTTAGAAGATTTACATCTAGTGTGTTGGGGGACTGGACAAGTCGGGGGCTATTAGTGATGGATGCTTCACTGATAGGAAGTGGAGTAGGGGTGTGGGGGTAAGAAGTTGGGGTGTGGGGGTAGATGTAGGGGTAGAGGTAGGGGTGTGGGGGTAGGGATGTGGCTGGGGCAGGGGGCTCAATTGAAGATCAGATAACAATCCAACAGCGTCTGAAGCTATTTGGTTATCCAATCTCTGTGTGATTTTATATAAGAGGGAAATAGAATAGATCAAGGATAAAGGGAAACGATGGGCCATAACTCTAGGTAAAAGTAGAACAAACTGAAACTAGGGGCAACAACTAGATAAAAAGTAGAATAGACAGAATAAATGGGTGATAACTCTCGATAAATGTAGTAAATGCTGAACAAAG